AGTCCCCACGTGATCGACGTCCTGGGATCACGAGCGAACTTGACCAATGTCAAGAACTCCTTGAAGAATTCCACACTAGACGTCCCGACAAACTGCGCCTATGATGATTCGAATCCCCCCTCTATTGACACGACCTGTCCACATACTCACACGCGATTCCACTCTTTTGGTGCAACGAATGGGTGGAATTCTTCCGAAGCAAGGGTCTGAAGAATCGGCTGGGTTGGATCTCTATTCGGCTGAAAGCGTTAAGATACCGGCACGAGACCGCAAGATTGTTAGCACCGGCATAGCAATGCGCGCACCTCACGGAACATATGCACGAATCGCGCCGCGAAGCGGATTAGCAGTCAAAGGGATAGATGTCGGCGCTGGAGTAGTAGACCGAGATTACACCGGAGAAGTACGCGTTGTGATGATCAACTCCACGAATCAACCTTTTCAAATACACGCTGGCGATCGAATCGCACAAGTCATTTTGGAACGCATTGCGTCATGCGATATCGAGGAGGTGTCAAGTTTAACAGAGACTCAACGAGGATCAGGAGGATTTGGATCGACGGGTAAATAATCGTGAGGACACGATTCTAGACGGGGGGGTAATGTCATGAATATTACACAATCCGGATGGTTCTCCCGGATTCCATAGTATTCTTTCACTTTCTATACACCTCCGTATATTCGTAGGATATTCTAGGTATTCATTCTGACATGTATATAAGGAGCCTGTACTGCTCAATAACAAGCCAGACTCGAGCTGGTCTTTCCTCACTCACTCTCCTCTCGTCTGTCTCCTCAGCTTTGTCGTAGCTCAGTCCAGTTGGATTGTTAGTTGCTGACAACTACATTCGAACTTGTCGGTGTCCGGTGCAAGACTCGACACAACAACAACAGGTTTAATGCTCCACAAAATTTGTATGTGAACAGCGCCTCATAAGGCCGACACCCGTGTCAGTCTAGACATAACTTAGTACTGCTTCCTGCTGCTAGTGATGCACGCCACACTCGATGCCTCGCGCGGGCCCGGAATGTGAGGCATGTGAGGCATGGATCTGGGTGGCGTGTCAGCAAGCCTATGCGGTCCCACTCGCTTTAAATCAATCCGAGACGACAAGTATCTGATTTGCGAGAACTCGAAATTGTGCGTGACAGAGTCCAATGCGTGCCCTGCCCTGTCATACTTCTCCACTCCCTCCCCCTTACGCCTTTGAAGCTTTGAAGATAAGAAAAGTTTTGTACATTACCACTGTCAAATCTTTAGGAAAATCAGGCTGACGCTCATATACCGCAGGGAAGCAGAAGGTGCAAAGGAGCACGGGGCTCACGCGATGACGCAGGCCAATTGACTGCTGTCTCCGCTGGAGCTTCCGTGCTCCTCGTTGACGGAGATTTCTGGCAGCGCGACTGGAATAACGGAAGCAATGTTGAAGAAGCTGTCCATCACTGTCCTCGTTGTGTTTGGAGGAGTAAGATTGTAGCGCTTGGATGAACGCGCTAGACGTCGTACGCTGCTCAACTGGTTGTGTTGGTCCGTCTCCGCTCTCCAGAAGTCCTTATACCACAGAGCAAACGGAACAGAGAATGCCTTGGGTGCCGATGCCCGGGCGGCAAGCAGTATTTCGTGTGTGCGGAGAACAATGTGTTGCTCAGTACACCTCGTCGGTCCAGTAGTCCGGGCTATCGTCGACCCTTGCGGGGCAAGCTACAGGCGTGGCACGCATCCAAAGGCAAATGGCTGGCGGTGCGTGTCTAAAGCTGTAAACGTACTTGAGGTCTGTCGCAGATTTTCCGTGTTGGTCTGCCGCTCCCTCTTTCCGCTCCCTTGCAATTATCGCGCATGGACGCAGACTTGGGGCGCGTGGGCACGGACGTAGATCTCCGTCGACTCTTCAAGACACCGGTGCCCACTGAGGTAAACGAGGCCGAGAGCAACACAATAAGAACGACCCTGCCTCCCATGAGCTGAGTATCTCCGTCTTCCTTTCTTATGTCCGTACGTGCACACGACCTCAACGTGGGGCTTCGGTTACGGACCGGTAGGTGTATCGTCCGATGTGCAGCTCAAAATTTCCGCTGGCGGCTGGACTAAATGCAGGGCGCGTAGGACAGCGCTGCGCCCGTTGCTTAGGAGACTCATGGGGAGAATCCTATTGTGCCGCACCTCCTCGCGTGGTTGTTTCGTGGAGAGAACGGCCCGCCGCGACATGCTGCCACGAAGTGCGTGGCGTCAACCTCCACACTTTGACGTAGTGGTGTCGGACCATAATCCTGCTTGCATGGCCAGCTATGCAACCTCGTCAGTTGCAGACTGCTGTCAGCCACATTCATCATGGCAGCTTAGGCAACAACGTCTCTCAGACAGGCGAAAGGAATTAAGCGCAAGAGGTGAATATGATGTATACGGTACAAATATGCAGTGTTCTGGTCCCTCTTCTACTCCCCTCGACCACTTTAGTCCTACAAACACTAGAAACTACAACAAGACCAACGACCTCAAGACCGTGGAGTACAATCTGAACGAATAGATACGCGGTATAAATCACGCCGGATGTATGTCAAAAGAAGTCCTAGGCAGCATCGCGAAGAACAAAGGGTGGTAGATGGCTGCTAGAGATGCTCAACTCCTGGGGGCTGAAAAAAGCGAGGAAGTTAGGTGCGAACTGCAGCGGATCGGACACAAAGTTCGCTTACAGGAGTTTTGTGGTCATCTACGCAATGACGCACGAGGGGCGACTGCTGTCGGTGTTGCCGCTCTCCTGGTCAACGGGTACTTGGGGCTGCTCAGAGGCAATGGGAGAAGCGAGGGTGAAGAAGGAGTCCATTGCGAATTGTAGAGTTGAGAGCGGGGTATGAGCAGAGAGAAGAGGTCGCAAGCGACGAGTTCGTCTGATGCAGTAGAGCGAAGTAGCTTGGGGAGCTAAGCGAACGATGCGACCGTACTTATAGCCCGAATGTCGAAATCGCTAGGGACACCGGACAAGAAGCGGACAGCGGTACCTCGACAAGAGCGCCTCCAAATCAACCGGGTGCAGAGACCACATACTGGATAACAGAGCGACGGTCGTTATTGTGTCGACAAACTGGTGCCGCCGAAAGCTACGAGGACAATTGTGAGTGAGTTCGGTGCGAACATTACTTTCCGGCGAATCAACGCAAGCTTACTGGATCCGAAATACCTGACTGCAGACGCCCAACCTGTCAGTGCAAACACAATAGCGACAAGTTACCTCGTTGCGTGACCGCCCTAACTTCGGAGCAGATAGCTGACAGCACAGTGCAAAAGTGAACATGCCGTCTTCCTGGGGAAGTACTGGATAAGTGAGTAGAGTTCAGAGACCGTGTGTCTGTGGGAGTGGCCAATGAGCATATGTACTAGAAAGCTGACATACGGCCTCCGAGCGTATGTGCCTGGAAACACGCAGCCATGCTTGCAGGTCTCGTCCACAATAGCCGTGTACAATATAGAGCAGGACTTGTCTGAACGAGCATAGCATCCGGAACCATGGCATGATAACGCAGCCTGCCCGACTCTTGACAGGCACACGGAGGTGGGCTCGGCAGCGATCTGGACTGTGGCCTAACACAAAGGCCTCTTTCTGAACCGTCTGTGAATGGATGCAAGACCCAGCCCAAAGCTTGCACAGCTCGTGAGATCCTAGAACACCACTTGACAACGTGTATGCCACCTTGCAACGAAATTCCAAAGCAGAGGCGAGAGGACAAAAGAAAAGAGAGTTTCATAAGGTGCAATGTAAACGCAGTATATTTCGCTGGGCTACGATCGACAGAAACAGTGAGGGGGGAGCGGGGGAAACAACATTGGACGATCGCAGGGAGAAGAATACCGGGATTAGGCGCTGAAAGAGCCCGGCACATGCCGCGACTATACAGTCCCTCAGCCACCGTAATAAGCGCCTTGGCTCCCACGCGAGGCGTTGCCCAGCAAATTCTAAAGGTAGCACCCGACGACAAGACCGGCGGCGAAGACAACATGGTGAGCAGCAAGATAATTTACAGTATCGAGAAATGCTTAGAGGGGACTATGCTTGCAGGCCGAACAAAAGACTGCCCCCACCAACCCCATGAAGGAGATCAAGATCGACAAGCTCGTCCTCAGTGCGTGCTTGCGCTGCTCTCTGCGCATCTAGCGAAGTGCTGAAGTGCTGAACGTCCTCTCTGCGCCTCACTAGATATCTCCGTCGGCGAGTCCGGTGATCGTCTGACCCGTGCCTCCAAGGTTTTGGAGCAGCTCACCGGTCAGACCCCCGTTACCTCCAAGGCTCGTTACACCGTCCGGACGTTCGGCATCCGTCGTAACGAAAAGATCGCCTGCCACGTCACCATCCGTGGCCCCAAGGCTGAGGAGATTCTTGAGCGCGGCCTCAAGGTCAAGGAGTACGAACTTCGCCGCAAGAACTTCTCCGAGACCGGCAACTTCGGTTTCGGCATCCAAGAGCACATCGATCTTGGTGCCCGGTACGACCCTGGTATCGGTATTTTCGGAATGGATTTCTACGTCGTCATGACACGGCCAGGTGCTCGGGTAGCAAGGAGGAAACAGAAGAAGGCTCGTGTTGGCTCGCAGCATCGGGTGAAGAAGGAGGACACCATGGCATGGTTCAAACAGCGGTTCGATGGTATCATCCTCGTAAGTAGCCGTCTCTTTCGCTGCACAGACTCTGGCTCATGGGTTGCCTTATAGAAATAAGCTGCTCCCTCCTTTTCTTTGCTTTGTATGATGCTAGTCTTTCGCTATGATAATCCCACGCCATATGCCCACCGCACGCACACAACTTCCTGCGCAGGGGTTCGAGTCTGTTCCTCCTATCGGGTACGCTGTGAAAACGAAATTACAATTCGTGATTGTGTGAGTGCCACGGATAATAAGACAAGGTAAGCTTTCTATGATCGAGCTTCACACAAAGCAGCACAGAGCAAAAACTACGAAAGATACACCAATAAGGACGAAAATTCGGTGTTCTGGAAGAGTATCATGAAGCAATTGCCGTCAGTTCCTCGGTCGCCCACCTCCAGGTCCGAGCTTCTATCTTCCAGCCTTTACGCATCCCGTTGTCGACCTGACTCGACAAGATGCTGATACCATCAGCATCGAAGTGTAGGTCAGCCTGACCGACATTGCGCTGGAGGACTTCGAGTGTGACGACGGACTTAGGCTCCGTACTCGGGGGAACAATCTCGCTAGCCTCCGTCATCGGAACTTCTTCGACGGCAGCCGATTGCTCCTTCGCAGGCTCGTCGATTCTTGCTTCGGGCAGCTTCGATTCGGTCGAGTTTGCTTTCGTTTCCGCTGGAGCGACCTTGTTTGACCCGGCAGAAAGGTCGCTAGCCGGCACACCGCCGACCTGCAGGACGCCTGCCACCTCGCTGCCAACCTTACTATCGTCTTCTGTCGCCTTCGAAGGTTCGGAGCTCGGCGCAGCGATAGCAGCTGGCGATGATAGGGGGACACTAGTTTGCCTGCTTTCACTTGGTCCGCCTTTGGGTTCCTGCGCCGCGACTTCAGCATCTTTCGACTCTGTCGCAGTCGGTCTGGAAGCAGTTGAATCCTTGGTGCCTGACGACGAGGCTCGGGATATTTCAGACTGTTGAGGATGCTGAAGCTGGGCACTCGACTTCGTCGTGGCTGCCTTGTCAGATGCCAGCTCACTGGCGACTGCGTCCTTCGGCGACGTTGGTAGGGGCTCTGATATGTGAACCAGCGAGATCGTGTATTTCAACGAGTCATCCGCAGCAGACGTGGCGTTCTCCTTGTCCTCGATGCTATAGAAACCGTCCTGCGGATGAATTAAGAATGTCTCTGCAATTGTCTCGATGATGATGGACGGCCTCTTGGTCAGGGCAGGCTCGACACTGGCCGTTGCCGATTCGCAGTCAACGTCCATTTGAAGGGCATTGCTGTCGGATAGTTTAGCCTTCTTGCGAGGACGTTCGTCGACAGAGAACAGGGTGCTTTTGACGACGCCAGAGTCGTATTTGAAGCTAGTTTATCATGTCAATACGGTCTGCAGGCGACATAAGCGCAGGTCTACGTACCCGACCTTCTGCAGACCCTTCCGGTAACCAAGCACAACTGTCCGCGCAGCGCATACATCGGCATCTGATGCGAGGGCCATGGTATATTCCTCAAGGTCTTCATCCGAAACAGGGTCTACACGTCTCCTCTTACGCAGGGGTGACATGCAGCCCAGTGCAGAAGCACGTTCCGAATACTCGAGGATCCGCTGAACACGGTTGCGCAAACCCATCTTGCGAGCTGTACCGGGCTGTCCGACAAGGTCAGCTTTGTGCAGCCCTCTCCTCATTTGATACACACCTTCACGAACTCAGCGCGCATGATCTCTACACCCGCGCCGTCATGATTATTGCCCCACCCAGCGCTGAGCAGCGTGCTCCCGTCGTCGCCGCTCTGAACATTCTTCCCGTCCGTGGGGCCCATAAACTTCGAGCCCAGCCCGCCAGGATATCGTGATTCTCTGGACAGGCGCACTTCCAACCGTAGGTCCTTGCCCTCTTTATGAGCCTTACGCGCCATGCTCCAGGTAATCCAGCCAGCGTGCAGAGCGCAAAGGAACATATCCGAGTCGTCTGTATACACGCGACGCATACCGTAAATCTCGTATGGGTGCGGACGCATGAAACCATAAGACAAGCCTGACTGCAAGTGTGTAATGAGCTGCGGCGTCGCGAAGAGCGGGCTAAACGACGGAACAAGCGCGCCACCCCATATTCGCGGGCGTCTGGGCTTCTCCGTAGGGATGAATACTGAGGGGATGAGTATTGTCGCGTGTAGTTCACGGGTTTCCTTCTCCACGGCGGGAACAGGTGCTGGGCTGGTGACAAGATCAGTGGGAGGCGCGGGGAAGTCGAGGAAGGGGAAGGGAAGGCGTGGGTGCACGAATGTGCCAAGGTTCCGCGGTTTCAATGTCGGCATTATTGGCGGGCGAGGAGACCTGGGCTGCATCAAGATATTGGGACGCGGTGCAGTCAATGCGTTCTTGAAAGGTGGGGACGTCGGCCGGTGGTCTTGGAAACCAAGCGGCGGAGCATGGGGGTGGGGTGGGATGTGCAGATGATTTGACGGGTGGAAGTGCATAGGTGGAGTGGGTGTAGTGGCAATGGGTGTCTTCGGGTGCTTATGGCTGGGCGGAGGAGGAAGACTGGTGATCGCCTTGTCAAAGGGCGCAGGCAGACCTATACCTGAGCCCACAGCCACATCGGTGGTAGGTTCTGCTTGCTTTCCCGTTTTTGCAGACTTTGAACTGACGGTATGTCCTGGCGCATGTCCAGGAATAGCGGGTGGAGGAGCAGGGTGTCGGTGGTGATGATGGTGCATGTGATGATGATAGTGACTTGCAGGATGTCGATTGCTCATTGCTTCCATTTCCTCGCGTTCACGCTCACGCTCGTGGCCAAGCTCGCGTTCCCGCTGGAGGTGCATTTGCTCGCGTAGTTGCCTTTCGCGCTCACGCTCCGCGTCCTTGCCCCAGCTTTCTGGCCCGCGAGGCTCAGGTAGCCAGCCATGTTCATCAACCGTACCTCTTCGTGGTTCCTTCATACGCTCTCGTCCGGCTTCCTTGACGACGTCCCGCCCGCGGTCCTTGTCTCTTGCTTCCCGCTCCCGGCCAACGGCCCCACCTCGTGACATCTGCCTGCTCATCCGGTCCATCCTCTCCAGGTCTACTCCTTCCCTGGTTCGCCTCTCTTCCAACTCTCGTAACCTCGCCATCTCCATCTCCCTCTGCCGCTCCATCTCCCACATTTCACGCTCTCGCGGGTCTTCGCGCGGAGGTGCAAGCCGCGGCCATACCGGCTGCTCGTGAACACGCACCATGTTGTTCTTCCTCAGCCATTCCCTCTCCCTCTCCACTTCTGACATCCTGTCGCCGCTACTAAGCATGCCGGGCACGAGGTCATGGCTCTCCCGCCTCTCTCGCTCGTGCATCTTCTCCTCCTCACGCCGGCCTCTCTCCCACATGCGATGCGCCTCGCGCTCGGCCGCGGCCTCGTAGATCTCTCGGCTCCTTATCATCTCGACCCGCTCGCGCTCGCGCTCTCGACGCTCGACGCTCCGGCTCTCCCTCTCGCGCTCTTTTTCCCTCTCTCGGTCTTTGAGCGGCATCGGTTCGCCAGGCATACCTGCAGCGCCGGGGCCAGTTAGCATCTGCGGGGGCGCTCCTCCTGCACTCATGGTGCTTGTGCTTCGATGATCAAGTCGACCGACTGAAGCAGACCCAAGACCCCTGCCACCGCTGAATTGGGAAGGAGGACCCATGGGCGGACCCCGGCCAGCGTCACGCTCGTCGTAAGGCGGAGGTCTCTGCAGACTACTCATCGCCGGGGACGGCGCTTGGCTGCTATGTCCACCAGAGCTGCCACGGCGACGGCGGCGTTCCTGTGGAGGCGCGAGGTGGCCTTGAGGGGGGAGCCGGCTCATGGGGCTCGAGCTCGGAGGCGGGCCGTTATACATCGGGGATTGTTCGTTAAAATTGCTATGCGGAACTCTCGAGTGACCCTCAGGGTGTGGAGGTCCCATACCGGGACCGACTGGTGTTGGGAAAAGCGGGATACTTCCGTGGCCAGTCGGTGGAGGCATGCCTGATCCCGGTGGCGAAGACCCAAACTTAGATGATGATGTAGAGCTTCGCGAGCCCGGAGGTGGCATATACATAGGTGGTCCGCTGGAGTGGCCATGGGAATGACTGTGGTGATGGCTGTGAGAGTGGCTCGACTGCGATGAAGAACGAGACGGAAGGCCAGGTAGACGGTGGTCGTATGGGTGCGGCAGTGGTCCTGTAGAGGGCGTTGAGCTTTTACGTTGACATATGAATTGATTGGGGCGAAGAAGAAGAGCAGAGAACCGAAAGAGACGTCTCGTAGATCAACGGAACTTCGTCCCGCTACATGAGCAATGTACGCCTTGTGACCCTCGTGGACTAAAATATCCGTCTGAGAGCGAAGTGCACAAAGGCAACACCATCGCAAGCTTGACGATTGGAAGCCATACACTTGTTTCGCAAGAAAGAGCCGAACGGTCAAGGGCGACTGTTGGGAATATGGGGCGGTGCCCAGAGCGCCAATTGGGAGAAGATTGAGCCAGAAGCCAAGCGCGTGGGTGATCGACACGCGACCGGCACAGCACGGGCGAGATATTCAACGCAAGGAATAAGACTCACCTGGTGGCCCCATCGACGACTGCTGGCCATGCTGTTGTCTCATAGGCAGCTCATGCGGTAGTGGTGGGAGAGGCTCGAGCTCTGGCCGGCGAGTTTTGGGGTCGTACTCGGACAGGATGGTCGATGGCGGCGGGAGACGCTGGGCCTGCGGGTGATTGCCCGGGTAGTCGGACGAGAAGGTGCGCGGAGGTGACAATGGCCTCGAGCTCCTGGAACTGTGCCCATGGTAGGACTGCGATGGATGGAGATGCTGATGAGGTGGCGGGGGTGGCTGCTGAGGGTGCCCCGACGGTTGGCGCTCTCGTTCCCGGCTTCGCTCTCGTTGTTGTGGCTGCGGGGGTGGCTGCGGGGGCTGCTGGGGCTGCTGGGGCTGTTGCTGCTCTCTCGGAGGCTGTCTTCGCTGTGCTGAAGGTGCGTCGTGTAAGAGGTCGGCGACGTTCATGGCGGCGGGAGAAGAAAGGCAGGGACTGAGAATTGGCTTGACGGCGCGGTGATCACCCCTGTGATCGAATCGAAATCTCGCAAATTCCCAGCGTTATACTGGCGCGAGGCTCGCGCTGGAGGGTCGACAACCTCTCCTCGTCGTCGTCGTCGTTGACAACGTCGAAGAAGGCGGTGATGGTGGTTTGGGTGCAAGCCGAGACGTCCGCGAAGTGAGAAAATAAGGTTTAGCGAGAGAGAGTCAGAGCTCACGGACACATGCTCACGTGCCTCTCGCGTGGTTGACGATAGCTGCTTCGATCAAAACGATCAAATCTCAGATCTCCCCAATGTCTCCATAGGTCTTTTCCATTTTCGGATGTTACCTCCGCGACATCCGGCGTCTGATGACTTCCATCCTTACCCCGCATTTGACGCGTGCTCGCTCAGGGATTTCGAAACTTGTTTGCTCAGGGTCGCAGGAGTGAATAAAAGCGATAGCATGCTAGATATGTCAATGTCAATGTGCGGCAAATACTTCGGATAGCTAAGTTATAATCGGAGCAGATCCTATACACTCTACGGGTCCTTCGCAGCACGTATTGCGGGCAACAATCTATGTTGCCGGCAGCAGGATGTAGGACAGTAACTTTGTTCGGCAGCGGGGATCACAGCTCATGAGGGAATGTGTAAGCTGATCTCGTCAAGGAGTTCCATGGCGATCTTCGCATTCGATACCTGTGGTCGCAAGGTGGCTTGAGCGCACGTCGACGGGACAAAGAGTCGACTAGATACTTACGCGGAGGTTGTAGTGCGTCGTTACCCCGGCTTCGAAGACGCTGAACCGAATATATCGTGGATCCTGTGCGAGGAAGCATTTCATACCCTTGAATAGCGTCGCGTTGAGCAGGACGGTGTACACAGCCTCCTTGCGCATCACTGAAACAACTGTCTCAATGCCGAGCCTGGGAGTAATGAAGAGAGAGAACTCACAGAGACGGGCGCCGCTGCCGTCATCCTTGCGTACATTCAGCTTGAGCTGACCAGTGCCACGCTCTTTCCACTGGTTTTGGTCGCTCAGCGCAAAGAGTTTGCCGCGGACCTGGTAAATCGTGTCTTCGTCCTCTTCGCCAGTTTGCACTGATGATGATGGTTAGGAGCAATCAGGAACAGATATTTCTTGTTAGCTCACCTTCCTGCTCGGTCAAATTCAGCCTCCTTCCTTCACCGTCTGGGTCTTCATCGTCCTTGCTAGCCCGCAATCGCTCTCCGAAGCTGACACCCTTCTCGCCCTCACTGTCTTCGTTACTGTCGTTATCCGCGCCGCTCAAGGAATTCGGCGGGTTCAGCGCGGATGGCGCGGCTTCCAAATTTTCGTCACCAAAACTAGGTGTGCTAGTTTCGGACCGTCTATGCGCAGCAGTGGAGAATGCGTGGGCCCCGCCTGTCGCATAAGCTGAAAACGCGCTTACACGTGCGGGGGAGTGATTCCGCATGGGGGACTTGTTGCGGTTTCCGAAGGCTGCCATTGGTATTGGTGACTTCGGACGCTTGGCGGCGGAGGCGAAGGGAGAAGAGCTTGAGGCGAAGGCTTCGAAGCCTGTGCGTTTCAAGCCAGGCTCCTTGAGTGACGAGCTCGAGGTCTCGGTTGACGAGCTGGCAGAACCAAGGACAGGAGATGGGCTGAGGATGGGCTTGGCCGCTATGCTTGAGCTCGAGCTCGCGCTCGCCCATGGTGAAGGTTTCGACGAGAACATGCTGGGGCCTTTCGCCGTGGCGAACGGCGAGCTCGGTGAGGCGTACGCCATGAAGCCGCTCTGTGGCGATAATAAGCGCGTGTTTGACAGAGCACGAGAGAACGCATACCAATTTGGGCGCAGCTGACGACTGCACGGGTTGTTCTTGGCTCAACGGAGGAGTCGATGTAGGAGTCGAGGCTTTTGACCGCTCTTGGCTCGTAGTCCGACTGCTATTTGCATTTGCGACACCAGTCGCTTCGGCTTCTTTCCTCTTCTCCTCATCGGGCGGTGGTGTCGGCCTCTTCGGTTCTCGTGGATTGGCGTCCTTGTCCGGGTCGTCTCTTGGCCGCTTGGAGGCGGACGCCTTTTTTGCGTCCTGTTCGACGAGTTGCTCCTCCAGATCCTTGTGGTCGCTAACGGTACGATCTCCCAGTTTGCGCTTGAGACCCTTCTCTTGATCCATGCTCTCCTCCGACGCGCGTCTTGAGATGGCCTTCTCTGGTGGCTCCGCGAGATCAGGTGGTGTCGAAAAGCTGTGCGGCGGAGCAGACACGATGTTCTCTTGCAGCGTGTGGTCATCGTGTTGAGCTTCTGGAGGGACCTCTGCAGGGTCAGCCTCTCCTGCGTGTTCCTCGTCGCCATCGCCATCGAGGGCCATAGGTGGGTTCTCTCCGCGCAGGAGTGGCGGCACAGTTATGGTTTCCTGCTTGTCGTACTGCATCTCTTCTATGGCCATTTCATGCTCCGTCGTCTCTTCCGCTACCGGCTCCTCTGGCTCTGGCCCGGGAGATGGCTGCTTCGGCATGTTCTGCCAGGTGAGGTCTTCGACACCCTGGCTGATCTGCCGTATCTTCGACTCGTGCCGAGGCGAGCCACCGCCTTGTTCGGACTCAATTGCCGTCGGCGCGTCGGCAGCCTCATCTTCCTCCTCTGTGGCATCGAGTTGTGTACTCAACCTGTTTTTCTTTGCGGGCGTGCGCCTATCTTTCGCCTCGTAGTGGCTCGGCTCAATATCCTGTCATTCACGAAAAGCCAGCAAACGTTGTGAATAAGCGGTTACAGCGTGATGAGCACATCCTATGGAAAACAATCGGATGTGTGTGAGTACGCACGATAGACGCTGCCTGCGGCGTGCCAGGTTCTAGCGAAACCTCCCTCTCCCGTTTGCGCGATTGCCTCGTACCTATAGATCGCAGAACGTTTCTGTTGAAACCTCCGGCGCTGCTCGAACAATTGTACTCACTGCCTATGTCTTCTGGAGGTGTATTGGTACCTTGGACGCTCGCCTCCATATCCTGTATTACGTGCTCTTCAGTGTTTTCTTGCGCAGCCATTGCGCGCGATGAAAAAAAGCAAGAAGTTAGGCTTTTGGTGGTTGGGGACGAACGTCGTGAAAGAGACGATAGGACGAAGCTGAAAGCTTGAGCCTGAAGACCTTGTTATAGCAGCGTTCTGAGTCTGATTGATGGCCAACACGCGACCGTTATGCGGTCATCGAACCAGTAAGCGGAGCTTCAAATAGAGGCACCAGTGAGACTGTTATGTAGTAAGTACTGATCATTGACATAGTAAGCAATAGTTACTGATTTGGTCAGTAATACTCAATAGCATAGTAGTAGCCATGGTCAATCAGGTTGGCCGACATCTTCTGCTTCGTTAAAATATTGAGTGCCGATCTTTGTATTTAGCAATAATGGCATATTCATCTAGTTTAGGCAGTAATTGTGACTCAGTCTTGTCGATTGGTGGGCGGATACGACTGCAAGTGCAAGGAAGCTTTTGGAGAATGCCACTCTGGAAAGGCGTGACATCAGGATCCGGGATTGCTCAGAGGTAACACTACACGTCTCACTTTACCACCACCACCTACTGGCTTGAGTACAGCCAAGCGGACACCAAGCGGACTTACCAGGCTGCTGTGCAGAGATCAAGACAAAGAAAGCTTACTCGATCTGGATCTGGGTGCTCTCAGGGAGAGTACTGCTGTGCGCGCTGCGGGCGACGACGAGTAATATACTTCTTCCCCTTCCACCGCCACTCTATCTCAACGCTTTGTCCTCGCTACTCCATCAGAGTCGGTCTATCTAGATAGTCGCACAATTCCATGCCCAGTGTAGCCCTCCTACCACCCTCACCAGCGTTTGCGGGGTTCGCACCGTCAAACTCAAGTAAGCATACCCGGTCTGCGCTTTAAACTCGCTGAGAATTTCCTGTTGTCGCAGAGATGCAGAACGGACATGCACCAGAAGGCGGTGAGACCGCAGCAGAGATCAAGGCTGCTGCTAAAGAGCAGGCTCAAAGGGCCCGGGGTGCCTCTGCTACCTCTTTGCTGCGTACGGCGGGGGACCAGTCTCAGACAGCTAGGGTTCAGGAAGCGAGCGGAGAGCTACGGGAGGCATTGGCCTCGCTGACGAAGGCGGCCTCATTGGTCGGTATGTTTATGGAGTCTCTTGAGTTTAAGCAGGAGCGGCAAGGAAAGAAGGGCGGTGTTCTCACCAGGGAATTTATGAACTTTCATGAGGTGCGTCCCCTTCCGGCTACAAATGCGCCGGCGTGCTCACGCCGAGCAGAGAGAAGGGAATGATATTCAGGAGCGTATGGGGCGGATAGAGGCTAAGCTCAAGGAGATGGACAAGGCAGCTGCACGGTACGTGGCTTACCGCTCACACGTGTCGGCATCCTCAACGTCTGTGCAGCGAGGCAGAGTCTAACTCCGACGGGCCCGTTCAGAAAGCTGGCGGCAGCATCGCTGACCGAATGCGAGCCCTTCAGAACGCGGGAATGTCTATATCGCCCACGGCAGTCACTTCAAAGCGCATATCCAAGGACCTCAAGCTCTCGTCCCCACCCTCCGCACCACCCCTACCTTCTGCTACTGCAGGCTCGATACCGTCAACACCAGTTAGCTCCTCGATCACGTTGCATTCAACACCCCCTCTGGAAGCACCCAAACCTCTCAGGACTCCTCTCCAAAACCTACCCTCTCCCTTGATACCTTCCCCCAATCATGCGTCTCCTGTATCTAATAGCTCAGCTTCCTCCGCTCCTCACACTCTGATACCTGCGTCGAGTTTCGGACCACCATCTCCGACATCCTCTACGTCTTCTTCGCCTCAGCTCCCCACTCGCTTAAGCATAACGGACTTTAACCATAACTTCCCTTCCATTGATGAACTCGACGAATTGGACTCTGTGAAACTGCCTTCACCGCCTGCAGTCGGGCCTCTGGTTACCGGCTCTAGCAGACACTCCGACAAGTCCACCGAGAACAATGCGTCGGCGGCGAATTATTCGCCAACAATCTTCGCGAAACAGTTCCCAGTTCTACCGGTGGACCCTGGACCAAGACCATCTAGTACTCCAATACCCAGTATCGACACGTTCAACAGTCGACCCAGTTCTCCAGCCCCTCGGTCGCCGCTTGTTCCAGCTATGCCTCGGAAGCCCTCGAACTTTGCCCTTAATGGGGGTCAGAGATCCCCGCTCATGCCGCACGCTATTTCGGAGAAGCATAAGCGGGAACTACCTACAGCTTTCTTCCCTGAGACACTTTATGAATATAAGGACAAGAGCGACTTCAAAATCCTTGTTCTTGATGTGCGGGAACGACAAGAGTTCGAGACGGAGCATATCAAAGCAGACGCTGTGGTGTGCATCGAGCCTTCCGTTCTTCTACGGCCGGAGTAAGTCCATACATACAAAGCTACTGCCGATTTCATTTACTGATAGTTACCAGTGTCTCAGCCGAAACCATCGAAGACTCACTGTCTGTAGCACCAAGGCACGAGTCCCTGCTCTTTTTGAATCGCGACAAGTTCGACCTTATCGCTGTATACGACGAATCGTCGGAGAGCATCGGCGAGTCACGTGCTCTCACTGCTCTGGTGGGGGCAATCTACGAGCGGTCTTTCAAGAAGATGTTGCGCAATATCCCGCTCATCCTTGTCGGCGGGCTGCGAACATGGAAGATCAGGTTTGGGTCAGACGAGTTGGTTCGAGGGGGTACAGAGTCGACAGCCGAGTCGCCAGGTACCTCAGGCGCGGTTTTTAACCACTTTGATGCACCCCCCCTGGTGAACGGAATGTCCTCCTCGCACCCGAATGGTCCACTCGCACCTCCGCTGCAACCACTCGCGCCTCTGCCTTATCCGTTGCATATGCCCGTATCTGGGCATACGAGAGTGCCAGCGGAGTCGTCGACTTCGATCGCCTATACTGCTCCCTTGCTAGACTCCACGAACTTCAGTCAATCGGCACCAATGTCTCCGCTAATGCAAGACAGCAGTGTGTATAAGACGTGGATGCCGCCACCAGGAGCTTCAATTACCCCAACGCCCCTGGAAAATGTACCCTTAGCTTTACGGTGAGTAGACATTCTAGACTCAACCGGGGTGAACGATCTGATTGCTCAAATTTAATAAGTCCTGGAGTACCCACTCAGAGGGAACCGCCGCCCCTTGCTCGGAGGCCCGCAATGAATCGACCTGCGTCCAATTCTGTGTCTTCTTATGCACCAGTAGTACCGGATATGGTGCGTTGGAATTGTGATTATTCCAGAAACTATGCTAATCCACCCAAAGTCAGCGCCGCATCGCTCGTCTCCGTCCCTATCCAATGGCACGTCGGGCATTCAATACCCTCAGTTCAACCGCACAATATCGCCCCAGACGGCTGGCGTGTCATCCTTTAATCCATCTTCCGCCAACGGCCTCGTTTCCCTCCCACCGCAAGCGTCTATCAACCCGTCACCACTTTCACGGCGGCGAAGCGACTACATCGACCAATCGCAAGAAGCCCTGTCGACCATATCCAACTCTCCGTCAATAGACTACCCCGTGCTGTCATCGCAATCTGTCCTCCGGCCCCCGCCTGCCGTGGCGACGTCAACAATGGAACGACAAGACAACAGGCCACGTATCATGTCGCATTCCGGAGTGAAGCCGCCGACCATCCAGTCGGACTACCCGGTCACATACTGGGCAGACATCCAGATTGGCACTTCGGGGCTTAAAAACTTGGGTAATACATGTTACATGAACTCAACGATCCAGTGCTTGAGCGCAACAGTACCCTTTGCGCGATTCTTCACGGGTGTGTACCATTTTTGTCTTAGATTATGGCTTAACTTACTCTTTGCAGATGGCCGGTGGAAGAGTGCGGTAAACATGCTCAATTCGATGGGTACGAAAGGTGCTCTTGCACATGCGTTTGCTAGCATCCTCCGAGACATGTGGCAAGGAGAGATGCCCAGCCTGACGCCGCTTCCGTTCCGCGTACGCACTCGCTGTTGCAACGTGTCATATTATAAATACTAACATCGCGGTTTAGCGGACGGTCTGTACCTACGCCAAGCAGTTCTCTGGCTCGGAGCAGCATGATTCTCAAGAGTTCCTCAGTGTGCTTCTCGATGGTCTGCACGAAGACCTGAATCGTGTTCTCCGAAAGCCACATATCGAGATGACGCCAGAGAAGGAAGCAGAACTGGAGAAGCTTCCGACGCAGGTGGCGAGCGAGCAGCAGTGGCAGATGTACCGCATGCGGGACGATAGTCTGGTGGTCGACTTCTTCCAGGGTCAATACAGAAGTCGGCTCGAATGTCTAACGTGTCACAAGGTGGGCATATCTAGCAACTCCTTGCGTGATGTCTATCATTCATGCTCTTTCTCAGACCTCAACGACGTACAATACCTTCATGTATCTCACTCTACCCATTCCGGAGAAGAGAAATTCAGTAACCCTGCATCAATGCCTGGACGCTTTCGTCAAGGAGGAGGTGATGGAGAAGTCCGACGCCTGGTGAGCTCCTTCAGGGTTCTGCCCGTACCACACCCGTTAATATCTCTTGACAGGAACTGTCCGAACTGCAAGCAGCTGCGGAGAGCGTCCAAAGTGCTCTCGCTGTCGCGATTGCCGCCGGTGCTGCTGATTCACCTGAAGCGCTTCTCCGTAAAAGGCCACTTCACGGAGAAGATCGAGACATTTGTCGACTTCCCGCTTCGCAGCCTCGACCTCACAAACTACATGCCATCGCCACTTCCGCCTGGCGTTGGTGGCGGACAGACGCTCTCCCCGGATGACCCCCGTGCCCAGATACCCCCTTACAGATACGACTTATACGGTGTTACGAACCACTATGGTACATTAAGCAGTGGCCACTGTAAGTTTTTATTTATAGCGCACTGGAGGTATTTGCTGATTGGTCTTGTAGATACGGCTTGTATTTCTTCTCGTGGTGGATGGTTGTATTGTGACGATAGCCGGATAACCGCAATGGAGGCACAGAAAGTAGTGGTAAGTAACGACTATCTCAACTTCGCTTCGACGAGAGCTTACAGGACTGCACAGGACAAACGTGCCTATATACTGTTCTATAAGAGGACGAAGCCGTAGAAGACCTCAAGGCCCATTCTTATATACTCTGTCGATGTCGCTTGTTTATTGTTCCTTGCTGTCAGGTGTACTCTGTTCTCCCATTCGTTTGCATAGCGATAAATCCCCGTATACCATAGTACATGTAATTACAAACACTAGTAGCAACACAGGAAACTACGTGGACAGGACCCCGTTCATTGGCACGACACCGTTCACGTTTGCATGTGTGCCCACGCCATTGACTGCACCATGCGCCGCGTGCGCAGGCTCGAAATGGCAGCGGTGGCAGAGCCAAGACAGCGCGCCCGAGCTCGGCGTACCGTCGCCGGGCGGTGTCGATGGTGGTGTGGGGTAGAACGACGGCGAGAACTCGGTGTGACAACGCGTGCACTGCGGGTCCGGGAACGCGCGCGAGCTCTCAGAGTCAACCGAGTCCTCGGTGTTGAGGATATTGTCGAGTCGCTGCGCCTTGCGAAGCAGGCCGTGCGTGCCCTCAATCTGCGCTTGCTTGTAGTGCCTGCAGTATATCTGCAGCGCAGTCTGTACGTGCATTTCAGTGTCAGTATTCGCCGGGACTGGACGGTGTGACGGAAGGGGCGCACCTCGCCCGCATCGTTCATGTCGCAGATGCCGTACGTCTGTCTCCGATTCGACGGGTGGCCTTTACACGTCACCTGAGGCACCATGCAGCCCGAGGCGTCCTTGAAGTCGACCGAGACCGTTGTCTCTCGGCGACTGCTCTTGATCGACTGAACCTCGAAGCCGAACTTGTGCCCTGCCTTCCACGCGCACGAGACATGGTACTCGGCTGGGCAGTCGCTGCAGCGCACGACAGCACCACCATTCGAGTCGCACAGTGTGCATTTCTAGATGGAATGCTCAGCACCAGGATGAGAGAGAAGAAAGAGGAGGACGTACGTTCATCCATCGGTATTGGGGTATGGTGCTAATGCCTTCTATGAGGCGTAACCGACTTGCGTCCGTGAAGCTAACTTCGGGTATAAACACGGCGCAAAGGACATGACACCAGGCATGGCCTTCTGTGGGTTTGCAGGCTCTTAAATACGTATCTGGTGGTGGATAAAGAAGCTTCTTCTTTGGATCCCTTCGTATACGCGGGCACAGGAGACAGTCCGGCTTCTGCGGGAGAACGCTGAGCGAGCGTCGTCGAAACAGTTAGATGAACACTCACAAGTGACGCCTCCAAGTTCTTCTCGTTCGCGCACAGCTCGCAGGTCCACGAGTCGCTGTTCGCCGGATCGACATTGGCACCGTACGCACCGGGGTGTACTCGGAACTGACACTGCTTGCAACGGAGGATCTTCCCAATAGGTCCATTCTTGTGGCATGCTGAGCATCGGATCTGAGGGACTGCTGGAGGCGGTGGTGTACTCTGCGAGATCGAAGTCTGGAGCAGATGAGCCCAACGAAGACACCCTATCACTTGATCAACTCACTCTCGGACGCTTGGCGGTAGTTTGTGCTAAGGGCGTGCCTTCCCGCTTCTCAGCCGGTTTGGCCTTGGCCACCGGATCCTCACGCATCGGGCGGATGTTGAGGTCGGCATACTTGCGCCAACTGATGCCGCAATTATCGCAGAGCACGTTCGACGACAGGCCCTTGGGCGCCTTCCACCAGACCTCGGACTCGCGAGTGCGGCACGCGCCACAGCTCGTGTTGTTCTTCGTAAGCTCGGTGACGATGGAGCCCTCATCGTCCGAGTCAGCGACGGCGGCCTTCTCAGACAATATACGCCCCGCGGCTCGCGCAGCCTTGATCCTCTTGTTCTCCTCGCCCAGCTTGGCACTGCAGATGACATGAGTGCGTGCGTGATTGGAGCCGAAGATTACGTACTTCTTCCAGTGTCCATAGAAGCGAACAATCTCCGGCATCGTGCGAGAAGGAAGCTCTTCCTGCACTAATCGCAGTTCTGCGCCGTGCTGCATGATGCCGTCCTCAAAGGCCGCGATTTCGGCATCCGTCCAGCCCTTGTCAGAGTAGCTGGTCTCGCGTTTGGCCCACTGCTGAATTGTTGAGACATGCGCGGGCTATGTTTGAGTCCATAACTCACCTTCCGTAGACGGTGCGAGGATTTCATATTCACAGTCAGGAAGTCGCGACCGGATGCCCAGGCATCGCTGAAGCGCTTGATGACTTCTGATAGCCAGTCAACATTGTACTTCAGCTTCTCGTTCCGAGTCAGCGAATTCTTGACAGTTTCCACTGCAGCCTATTCGTCATTTATCACAATCAGTCTTGTCAGAATGGGACATACTGGCCGCAACTGTCAAGACGTAGCTTAGTACGGGCATGAATGCTGGAAGAAAGACTTACACACCTTCCTGGTCAGACATCTCGTTGACCCTGCTAAGCACCTCAATAGTGCCGTCATCTCCACGTTCGTCTATGTCGACTACGCATTTTCCAGACAATTCTCTAAGGATCATTAATTACGAGCTTACCTAGCGGGTCGTCGCCGGGCACCGGGAGGGCGCCTACTTGGTACTTCGGGCCTACCCGAGTAGCGGCCCGTGGGAAGATGAGATCGTCAGGATCTGGGAAGCCCCAAATTGAGCAAAAGGGTTCGATCAAACGGCCAACAAACAACGCCACGCTCACCGAGGGTATCTTCAGCGACCGTGTACTGCCTGCGACCTCCCCTCAGCGACCTCGATTTTCCCAAAGGCTCGACGGAGAAAAAACATACCCAAAATATCGGAACGGCCACATCTTGAAGTGCTTGATTTCCAGGTTCTCCTCCTTTTCGGCCTGCACCCGGTCCTTCCGCGGCCGCCCGCGACCCCTGGGAGCCGGCGCATTCGACTTGGGCTTTGGCGCTGACGGGGTGGAGTGTCGGTTGAGCTTGTGGCTGTCCACCTCCTCCTCGTGCTCGCGCGAGCACGGCGCACACGTCCAGCCGTAGCCGCGGCTCGGCTTCGCCAGCAGCGGCGGGTTGTTGCAGCTCATGTGGAAAAATCGTTTGCATCGATCGCACTGCACCGTCTCTTGGCTGGGCACAGGGTCAGAGGGGGCGCTGAATCTGCACGGTGAGCAGCTCTACGTACGGTGCACACCACTGTTCGCATGTGGCGCAAGTGCGGAGGTTGTCCGTGAGGTCGGGGACGACCTCCTTCTCAGCGACGACATATTCGTACCGCGACACCAAAATCTCTCGTATGTTGTCGGGAACTAAAGGGGAACATGAAGTTAGTCGATTTTGTGTGAGAATGTCTGAGAACGGGGGCAAATTTCAGTGGGAAAACCTACGATTACGCACGCTCGAGGCCTGAATGACCTCGAACTCTTTTCGGATCCAAGGATCAAAGAGTCGCTGGAAATAAAATCTATCCGGCCGTTTCTTCCAGCCAGCGAGGTCAGAGATTTTATCCCGGTGAATTACGTAGCACTTTGCGCGCAGCTGGCTGAGGTCGCAGACCTCTGAGTAAATAGCCGCCAGGAGTAGACGACAATCCGCGACAGTACGGTCGCTCACGTCACTGGGGCGATAATACCATGCGAGACGAACTCGAGTCAGGGGGCCGTTCCGATTCCCGTTTTCATCAAACGTTGGAGTGCCAGCGGCAGGCAGAAACTCCATAATACGGGCTATCGAATAAGGGGTGCCGTCGCGAACTGACCAGCTGGGGGAGCAATAAACGTGGTCTGCGAAAAATCAGCCTGCGTGCTCAAACGATGGTGCAAGTCGGTTGACGAACCATTTACTTTAACTTGGTCGCCATTCTTGAGGCTGATGTACCCTAGCTGGGCCGGGGGCGGGGTCATGATGGGAATCCGGAGATGTCGAGAGCGAGAGGAATAAATACTAAAGCAAAGTGGCAGAAATTAACTGAGGAGATAGCTGAACAGGCCCCGCGGCCGTGAGCGAGTGTGGTATTTATTTGTGGCAGAAAGGATGGCGAGAGGTTGGAGGGAGAGGGCGAGATGGAGCAGAATGCCCCGAGAGAGGGTCAGATCCGCTCGCTGTGCGAACGAGAGATTCAACTCCGACCGAGCTTGACGCGGAAGAGCGAGAGCCAGCAACTCGGCCACAACTCTCACAAATAATTGCTGCTTTTATTGGCATTTCTCGCTCGCCCGCCCGCCACCGCAGCATCCATGTTTTTACAGAATTTGCCTCCTCGACGACCGCCTCTGGAGCCTGTCTAATCGTAAGGTGCACAGAATTTGCGCAGAGTGTCCTGTGCCGCTGCCATCCGTTGTCGAACATTTCCAACAGCAACTGCAGGCGGTGCTTCCCTGGGCGCCAAGCGCTCGCGGTGGTGGGCACGACAAGCAACACCCGCTTCGCCTCTCGTCTTGTCGCTGAGACAGCCTCCGTCCGCTCTCACTCTCTGTCCTGCGTACCCCAAGGCTTCAATGTGCGCCACATCTGCGTTGGGGCCCTGAGGGAAAACCCAGGCCCTAGGGTTCCCCTCCTCGCTTACGGTCTGGGCGGGAACGGCTACTCCCGATGCCGATCCTCGGCATCAATCCGTCAATAAACGTCAATAATGGCCGTCCGGGCAACCGACGATTGCCAGCGTTGCAGCGTGCGTCCCCTCAGAGGTTAACTCTGTTATCAAAGAACGGAGCCATGTTGCCGACTCGTGCTGCAGGAGCGCGCGAGGCCGGTACCCGTGACGATTTTTTCATGGGTGCTGCTGGGCCGCACCGCACCAGGGCGACCGAGCCCGGGATGAAGGATGCCCCGGAGAGGACCGATGTCTTAGGCCGAAATGCCCCAAGGGGAAACTGACAAGCAGGCTCGCTGCGGCGGACACTGCGCGAATATCCCATTGTACATCCCGTTACTCGGGCCTGAGATTCAGCCAGACCAGATGAGAGGGACGTCCCTTCCACGTATGCGTCCTATCAATTGTAAATATAGGGTTCTCTCATTCAAGCTAATTCTAGACCCCGCTCACAAAAGCCTTGTAGCTCCACCCTGAAGTTTATCTGCAGAACCGTACCTGCACACGTCTCAGCACGACGGACAGCCTCACTGCGTCCTTTCACTGCCACTGCTCGCCCCGAAGTTTCCCAGTATGGTCTACGTCGGTATTTGTGGCGTCTGGCGGATCAAAGAAGCACAGCTCGTCAGATGTCTTTGCCCTAACAAGTGTAGTGGACAATATTCGCTTCCTCGCTAGTATGAGAAACTGCGCATTTGTGAGCCCGGTAGTGGCGAAGAATAACGATGCAATTGTCTGTCAGAGATCATAGACTACCAGAGATATATTAGGGGCCAGTGCGGATGTATGTGTAGATGGGTTACGAAAAGGTATGATGCAAGGAAGATAAAGTACTTTGTACACGTCGTGAGGATGGGATGCAGATACATGTTCCAAGATGAGATGAGATGATGAGACGTGAGAGAGTCAGAGGTAAATGCTACAACACAACACGCAAGAGCAACTCGAAAGCAAGAAAGGCAAATGATGAACCACAGGATCTCACCGGAGAGCAAACTGGGAAAACGGGTTAGCGATTAGAGAAAAAAATGAACAAGCGTCCGTAAAGTATCATGGTGGAGCTGAGGGGTCCGGCTGCTCAGATATTGGAGTGTAGCCGCGCCTGCGTCGCTCGTCAGCAAAGGCGAGTACGTTCTTCAGGCTCTTTTCGTAGACCGGTTTCGTTAGGACACTACTCGCATGATCAGCAACCATGTCGAAAATACATATACCATGGCGAACGCACCGATCAACGCCAGCCTCAAGGTACTCTTGCTGATCACTGAGCAGGGCATTGCCAGTGACACCAACCACAAAGTCCTTGCGCCCTATCTCACGCAGTCGCGCGACAGCGTTGAGACCCGACAGCACAGGCATCTGGTTGTCGAGGAAAATGACCGCGTATTTGTACTCGTCGATGTTTGCGCCGGCGCCTGCCAACGCAAGTGCTTCGACAGAGAGGCCCGCGCTGCCTGTCTCTTCCGACGTGGGCGTTGGACGGTTGGACGAGTGTGCGCCAAGGATGAGCTCGAGCGCAATCTCGCCGTTCTCAGCTGTTGAGACCTTGCATCCCAGGCGCGTGAGCATCCGCGTCATGAGCTTGCGCGTCAGCGGGTCGTCGTCGACGACGAGTACGCGTATGCCCAACTCCCACCCGCCGGAAGACGAGGGCGTGCCCGCGGGCGAGCCGGAGTTCGAGCCGGGCGGGTCGAGGAAGCCCTGGAGCTGCTCTGCCGAGAAGCGTTGCCTCGAGGGAAGCGCCACGAACCGCGGTCGCACTGTAACGTCGGAGAGCTGTTCGGATATCAGCGGCGGTCTTGGGTGTTCTTGCGTGGGAGACGACTCTGGTGTCGTCACCGGTACAGAAGGTGTTGGATCTGTTCCTGTCGATGGGTCGCCGAGTGTTCGGGTCAGCACTTGTCCTTGAGTGTTCGAGTCTGTCGAAATCTCAACTAGCCCGCCCTGTTCCATGATGGTGTGCATAGCCGAAGCTGCCTGACGGAGAGAACCGCGTTGTGATGGTGATCCCGACCACCTCGATTCCGCACTACCAGTGCGCAGATGATCATGCACATAGTCTCTGAAGCCAGAGTGCCTCGCTCCCTCTGTCTGCGGCACAAACTGTGGAGTCGTCGCGAAGGCCAACGCCTTTGGCCCGACTCCGAGTGCTAAGACAGCCGTCAGCGGATACCATCAGTGCATTGACAAGCAACTTACGAAGTTCCACCCAAAAAGTCGAGCCCCTGCCAACCTTCGACTGCACGCCGAGCCGCCCTCCGCTGAGCTTGACGATTTGTCGCACAAGAGCCAACCCGAGACCGGTACCCTTGCCGCCCTGCTGCCTCCCCACATCTGTCTGGTTAAACGCCGCTGAAAAGGCGAGCTCAGAAACGCCTCCATGAATGTGTAGTGACGTCACTCACAAAACAGCCTACACTTTACCATGTCAATCGGCTTAATTCCGCATCCAGTATCCGTGACCTCGATACGCACGATGACGTTCTCGGTCACCGCAGGCTTCGAGTGAATCGAGTTGTGCCTCGCAAGATGCTTGCGCGACAGCTGCGGGTGCAGCTGCTTCTCAGTTGCTGCCAGCTCCCTGAAGTTCGAGGCAGGACTGCCGTTTGCAGCTTCCTTTTGCTCCTTGGAGACGTCTGAGGCAGTGAGCGTCTCCGAGTCGTGCCGTGACGGAGCCGTGGCGTGCGGAAGGACGAGCCGGGTTGTGATAGTGAGCTGCCCGCCAGCCGCTGTGAACTTGCACGCGTTGCTGAACGGAGACGTGAGTAATCGAATCGGATTATGTGCTAAATGGGGCGCACCTCGCCAGGTTTGTCACAATCTGCCGTAACCGCGTTTCGTCCCCAACCACGATCCCATCTTCATCCGGGTGCTCAGCAATCATCTTGAGGGCCTCCTGCTCGCTCATGCCTTGTGCCTCGTATAGTGCTTTGCGCGAGATGTCATCAATGCTCTTATCGAGCTCCGTGACGAACGACAGGCTGCGTGCGTCCGTCGCCATGCGGAGGGGGACGAACAATGAGCGCATGACCTTGTGGAACGGGTACGGCCTCGACACGCTCTCGAAGCGCCCGCTGTCCATCCGATTGAAGTCGAGCACGTCGTTGAGCACTTTGGACATCATGCTGAGACTGCCCTCGAGCGCTCTGAACTCAATTTCCTGCCCCTTCGCCACTGCACCAGATGCGGCCATGTTCTGAACTGCCAGCAACGCAGTGTTGAGCGGCACGCGCACTTCATGGAAGACGTAAGACGTGAGCCGGCGTTTTGAGTCAGATGCTTTGCTTTCGTTGACCTGCGCCTTCTGCGTTGCCCGGTATTGGACCTTGAGCTGGTCACGGAGAGTATAGAGCCTGCGCTCAGACTATTTGTCCCACAGGTATACACCCAAATCCGGATTGTGACGTGTGACCGGTTCATTACGGGAGAAATAGAGCGCATACAATCGAGGAATGAATGATTAGACGAGCTTCGGGACTTCTAGTATGAGTGTACGCACGTTCTCTCGCATGTAATGCAAATACAGGAGGAATGCTTGATAGCATAGAAAATTGATAACGTCTGGGATATGAGTAAATCAGCAGGCATCCGAAGAAGTCAGGTTCCGATGACCACGACGCAAGCATGACGTGACTTACTCCGGACCCAAGTTGGGCGGTCGGGAATAATCATCCCAAAGGAGCTGCACATCTGAAATCAGGACGCCGAAAAAAAAACGAGCACAGCGGAAACATACAGCACCGCGAACGTTAGTGAACCCAGAAAGGCAGGAAACCTATGCAAGCCCAACCCGAACAATGCGATAGTCGGTGGCCCGTTGGCATAGCTATGGCAAATGGGTTAAAACTGAGGCTCATGTAATCGGATAAGAACTCACTAAAAGGTAGCCAAGAAGTCCTTCGTTCCACATGACATGAGTGGGCGGTGTCCTCCGTAATATGCGCATAGGTACATGACCAAAATTTGGAATACGCCCCACATCCAGGTCGCTATCACGAGAATTGTCTGATATATCCAGTTCCTATCCCGCGGGAAGTCCCAAAGGACTAGGAAGAAGATGGGTAACGTGAAAAGAGGAGCGACCTGCAATGGGTTAGCAGCGGATAAGCCGTGCACGAAACCATACGTACGCCGTAGTGAAAAATCTTGTCAGCGAGAGTTATGGGCTTGGGGATAAAGGCGCATGACAGTAGCCAGTTGAGAACGAAGAATCCAGCGGACCAGAGGGCCAGGTGCTATGAGACCATTATGTTTGGGTCATCTCGGAGGCTTGATGTGGCACATACCTTGCCCATAAACCAGTTCTCCTTCCTGTACTGTTCCTCTGACTTTTCGTCAATGAATTCCGTCACGAAAAAGCTTTTGATTGATGGCCATAGTCTATATCGCAGGTAAGCGTATACCAGACTATTGTTGTGTGCGTCGTCATGAAATACGGCCAAGCTGTCTGCGTCCCCGCCCGATGCCTGCACGGGCTGCCCAGTGCCGCTCTTGTCGCCACCATGTCCAGAATGCACACTCGTCGACTTGACGTCCTCACCCCATTCCCTGTCCACAACAACCTCATCAATTTCGTCCGCCGCCTCTAGCCGCTTCCACTCCGGATTGTAATGTCCGTAGACTGACGCACGCTCCTGGTTGCTCTCCGCATCTAAGTCTACCGAGGAAGCTGATGGTGCTGTGCCGGCGCCGAACTTGCGCAGGAGCCTGTCCCACTGGTTCTTGAGCGTCCGCGCCGTCGATTCGCTTATCCGTGCGCGCTGTTTGCACCGCCGGGAGCTCCTGCTTGTCGGCGAGAAGTGGACGACGGGGGCCGGAAGGGCAGCTTCTTCAGTGTTGACATCGACCTTCTCGGCGTGTAGCTTCGACGGCGTCGAGAGACCGTCATACGTCGATGACGTTTGTGTTGAATGATGCGCAACTGTAGGCATGAAGCGGTCGCCGGAACACAAGCCGCGAGTGGCGTGTTAATTCCGCGCGCTGCAGGGTAGATGTTGGAAGTACGTGATGCCGTAAGTTGTCAGGAGAGCGGTGTCCGGTCGGTATGGGTGCGCTTCGAAAACCGAGCCGAGAGTCAGAGTGTGTGCACAGGTATCCGGTCGTCACGGGGCGTGTGGGGATAGAAAGGGCGCGAGAGCAGGACGACACTGAAAGTCGGTGACGAGGGACTAATGGTTGAAGACGAAGCTGGAAGTGACAGCTGCTGGCAGCTGCAGAATGCAAGTAGCCGCGCGAGGCAAATCTTGAAAAACCGAGGGAAAGTATTGCGGTTGCTCGGCCCAAGACACTGGGGGGCGGAAATCGATTTTTTCGGCGCCCCGAAGATACTGTAATCCACACCAGGCACGGTCGTCAATACACACACAGCTTGAGCTACGGGTCGCCCTCAAGTTGACACTAGCTCGGCTCGTAAGGCATCGATTTACCTGTATTATTCACGACCTGAAGCCTCCTAAGACCTTGAGAGCTAAGCGTTAACCGTTAAGAGAGAAGGCCAGGCCAAGTCTGGCCTTCTCTGGGCTTCCTCCCGCAGGCTTCGTGGCAGGCACAATTAATTTCGTGACGTCAAGAGCAGAGGTATTATGGAGGCATTAGAATATCGAGATCCCGGAGCATGCGTCGGTGATGGCGCATCAACTTCATGCTCCCGGACGAAACCGCGATCGCTACCCTGTACATAGAGTATACGCCCGGGTGCCGCTTGGCCCTGGTCACCTCGCTGGTGGCCCCTGTCGCCAGCGACCGAGGTCACCACCTGCGTACACGGCCCGTTGCTAGGGGTCGCGCCCGAAGCGGTAATGCGCCCGGGTGATCACCGGAGTTGTCCGAGCCCGCGCGATTGCGATCGACGCCCGCCCACCTTGCGCGCCCGAAGCGTCGGTCGACGCGCGCTCGCTCCCAGGACTGCCGCCGTCGCCCTTGCCGCCCCCAAACTAGTCAAGCTTGTGTAAATACTCGAAACAATTCATTTTAGTATTTATGTAGCCGCTATCCTCCATAAAATGCCCGATTTCGCCTAATTTTGTCTGATTATGCCCAATTTCGTATATGTTATTATTTGCTTCCGGCTTCTACGTATGCGCGTGCACTATGCTCTGCCTGCTCTATACGAGCTCAGCTAGATGTGATCTTGTATCTTTTAGATAACCATGCTCTCCTCAAGTCGCGGTCACAGATGTGGCGCAGAGTCTCAGACCCACCTAAGGCACGAATATCCAGTCGCGTAAGATACTTTAGCAGGCATGTGATCAATCGTAAATATAGCCATGTGAGCGCCTGCCGCCGGGGCGGATCACTTCTTTGTCCGACGCTTGGCCGGCGGTGGACGCCACAACGAGCTCGTAAGCTGCGCACGCTAGACCCATTCGCAAATTTCACTCTTTCCCCTTCCCACGGCCATCTGAGCTGTGCTCGCGAATCCAAACATGTCCTCATCCCGACCCGCGTCGCCGACGGCACTTGTGCGGCCAACCTGAAACGGTCCCCCGCGCCTTCTTCGCAAAGAAGATTGATGACCGCCGACCACCGGTGCACTCATCGGTTACACTCGTTTGATGACATGAGCCATTGTCCGCAAGACTGTCGACGGCGATCCTCCTATCGGTGAGAATCTCGTGAGCAGTGTCCATGGGATTGCACATGGCCAGTTGAAGTGCACATAGACATATCGGTGAGACTCACCCTCGCCGCGTACACGAGTCAGGATAGCTTAAACCCTTCCCGATCCGAAGTCAAAACCTTTTCGGGGGGCCTTCTAACTCCGAGGTTCAACGACGAGAGAACGCAGCGCATCGTGTAGTGGTTTGTATGACGACAATAGCGTTGGGTTCATGTCGCGTCACAACCAGCGGTCGCGACATTTCTTCATGCGGTGTAGAATTGTCAAGACTCGCGCTTCCGGGCGGGCTAGTGAGCGGGGAAATATGGGCGTTTAGGCTAAGTACCATCAAAGTGTACGATGCTTGTCCAGGCCCCGCGCGCGTGGGCATCACCGAATCCACTGCTCCCTTGGTCCTAACGCTCATCCCCTCTCGCCGTCCTGGACGACGAATACGACGATATCCCACTGTGAAAGGTCCTAGGGGCCTGCTACCGCTATCCCTCGTCCTCACACCGGCGTTAGCTGCTGCAAGCTCTCCCGATTCCGGCGTCCGTGGCTGCCCACGGTTATGCCGTTCAGATCCCGCACATCGCTCATTAGCGAAGCTGGTTCGTCGACTCAGCAGGAAAACGAGCGTCCGACCTCCAGCCTCAGCGTAGAGAAGGTCTCGACTACGATTGCCCTCACGCCAATGTCTCGCAGCCAGAGCGACAAGGGCTTGCCCACTCCCGTTACTCAACGGGTTACTTCCCCCCTTTCCTCACGTCGGAAGAAGAGAACTCGGATCGTCGACAGTGCGCGAGCCAGAGGGCTCCGCGTATACTGGGAACGTTTCCTCCGCAAGATGGGTTCTGGCACAGCACCTTCGTCTTCGTCTGCCATTGATGACAGTACTGGCGAGAGCAGTACTTCGAATCGTACGAAGCCCACCGAGAAGGAGGACCCGGACATTCCATTGGACGAGGTGGTGGTGGATCGAGAGTGGGCAGACGACGTGAAGACATCAAGTGTGACCAACTCGGACCAGGGCCAGAGTCCCGACAAGAGCGGCGGGAGCAATCACCTGGGAGGAACGAATACCGATCGAGATAGCCTTGCAATACGCTCAGACGGCTTCTGGGGTTCGTGTTTGCCCCTCATATGGCTCAGGTGGCGACTATGGCCATTCCTACACGGTTTCTTCTCTACACGTTTCCTGGATGAAAAATCGGAGGAGCACTACAACAAGGAGAACTGGTTTCTGCGCAAGGTGCGATGCATGCTCCTACTACCACCGTGTCTTGTGTTCTCACGCTGCTCCAGAACTTGGCAGTGTGGTCTTCCCTGTTCTATATCCTCAACTGGATACTGGCGACTGCATTCACTCCAAAGCCCGCTCCACTCCCCGATGTCATCTTCTATTATGCTGTGATGCCCTTATTCACGTTCCCGCTCCTCATTCTGGTCATACTTGATTGGCCTCGCGACAGGCCGATCACATATGAAATATTCCTTTCGTTCTCAACATGGTCGTGGGGAATCTACCAGCTTGTGTTCATGCGACTATGCAACTTTTACCTCCCTAATGACCCAGGAATCTATTCTTGCCAGGATAAGGACTTTCTGGCAACGTTCTAGTGAGTGCATGGCACATACTAGACGTTGAACTCAGCTGACAGATTACAGCTATACGACGGGTCTGCAGACGATTGCGCTCTTCGGCCTCAAGCAGCACAGATTTCCTGCGCTGTTGGGGATGTTGGCTTTCCTCGCTGTGTAAGCCACTTCACACTTCTGTCCGGACTTGCCTCAACCTTCTTGCACGCCAGCGCATTTGCTTTGGTTGTCCCCCAACGGCATCAGTTTTCCCGCTGTACGTCCGCGACCCTTACCCTCGAATGCTGCGAACTGACGGGATCACGCCACCGATAGACGTGGTAAACTTCATCTCGTTTCAAATTTTCCTGCTCTACGTGCATTTCATGCGCGAGAATGTCAGTACGATTTTCACAGCTGCGGACCGAACTACCTACGCTAATGATCCGATCCAACTCTAGGCGGAGCGCCGGCTCTACACGCTTCGGGACCAACTCAAAATCCAGTTCCGTGCAACGCAGAAGGCGCAGGTCAACGAGCGCAAGGCGTCGGACTCGAAGCGACGGCTGACGTCCTATGTTTTCCATGAAGTGCGTGTACCCCTCAACACTGCTCTCCTCGCCGTCCAGAATATGGAGGCATCGGGCATGGTCGCCAGGGGGCAGGAAATAGAGTTCAAAGCTCTCGAAGGAAGCCTGAGCATGATGTCTAAAGTGTTGAATGACGTGCTCGACTTCAATAGGATGGACAGCGGACGCTTTGAGAGTGTTCTCAAGCCGTACGCGTTCCACAAGGTCATGCGTTCGCTGTTCGTTCCACTCCAGCTCGCGACGGACGCACGGAGCTTGCACTTCGTGACCGAGCTAGATAAAAGCATCGATGATGTCGCGCGGCGTGCCCTGTATGAGGCGATGGGGCTCAGCGAGGAGGAGATCGTGAAGCGTCTCGACCTGGACGAAGACGGAATTCTAGTCGGTGATGAGACGCGTCTCAGGCAGATCATCACGAATTTAGCTAGGTACGTCGACCCAGGACCTACTTCTGTCACGTATTTGGGCCTGACCTGCCATACGTAGCAACGCATGCAAGTTCACACCTACAGGTGGAAAGCTGACAATAACGACACGCCTGATAAAACCCTCTCGTCTCCCACGTACAATGACGCTAGAGTCGACGTACAGCGTCCGCGAGGTCCCGCGAGATACGTCCCCACCGCGCCCGGGGCCTTCTACAGGTGGGCTCTCCGAGTCACAGCCGCCCTACTCGGTCAGGAACTCTTTTCCTGTGACAGATTCAGAGACACCCACTTGCAGAGACGGCGACGAGGGTCACGTACAACTATCCGCCTCTTACCTTTCGCAACATAACACGATTCATGCGAAACCGCCGCCGCCGCTCGAGTTCGTCGTTGTACGGATAGAGGTCACAGACAGCGGATGTGGCATACGGCGGAAAGACATGGTTCAGAGCAAGCTCTTCTGTAAGTCCTGCTCGTTCGCCATCAAGTGAAATGTGGCTCACCCCACGCATACAGCCGCATTTAATCAAACAGAGATGGGCAGACAGCAAGGTACGTCTGATCGGAAGCCGTACATGGGCGTACACTCATCCCGATATTCGTCTTAGGTGGAAAGGGCACAGGTCTTGGGTTGGCTCTCGTCCGCCAGATTGTCAAGCTCAGTGGTGGTCGCCTCGGTGTGCGGTCCAGGGTTGGCGAAGGGTCGACGTTCTGGGTGGAGCTTCGTAGGTGACAATTCCTTCGTGATCGAATCGCCGCTGACTCCCTTGCAGCTCTTGGAGTTGGTATAAAGGCTCTTCCCGGTCTGAAGTCTGTCGAGACACCGGACAGTGTCGGCGACCACGACTACAGCTTGGCTGGGATCATGTCAGGTCCAGGAACAAGCCTACCACCCAGAAACTTAGCTCAAACCTTTCAGCCTCAGACAGCGACGCCGAACAGGACGACATCCGCGCTGCACAGTATCATGGAGCAAGGTTCGTGAATAGTTCGATGTGGGTAAGGGGTACTGTTATAATAAACGCCATAACACCAGGTGGCTTGGTCGAGATATCTGCAAAACGAGATGACAACTCTCCCGTGCTAACACGTACGATCGGTGACCCATCCACAGGCACGGATCCTACTCCACCTGAAGCCAAAGAGGAGGCCTCGCCTACCCGGTCGAGCTGCGAACTGCCTGAGTTGCCGGCCCATACAGTGGAGCCAGTCGCGCGGCCGAACTACGTACAGCTGCCTGCTCCGCAGGACTTTTCGCGGCACGGGTTCCCGACCTCAACAGGGTCTTCGTCGACGCTCGTACAGGGGCAAGGAGGGGCGGCCACGCCCGGCACGCCCGGCTTCGAGCACGGGATCAAAGTGCTCGTCGTCGATGACGATCCGCTGACGCGCAAGCTCATGTCGCGCATGCTCACGCGCTTCGGGTGCAAGGTCTCGACAGCCGAGAACGGCGAGATGGCGCTCGAGATGATCCTCGGCATCGGCGGGGCTCGCAACATCGGCACGACGCCCTCATCCGAGGAGCCGAGCAGTGCGGGGATGTCTGCCGATGGCGCGCTCGGCGTGCGGACGTCCGCCGGGACGGACGAGCCCAAGTATGCGGTCGTCTTCCTGGACAACCAAATGCCTGTTCTATCCGGCCTCGAGACCGTCGCGAAGCTTCGTGAGATGGGACGCAGCGACTTCGTGGTTGGCGTTACTGGTGCGTGCTCCACGTTCGCACCCTGAATGAAATTGCTGCTGACGCCGCGATGTTGTTTAGGTAATGCCCTATTGTCTGACCAACAAGAGTATCTCGAAGCGGGCGTGGACCAGTAAGTCGCGAGTGTGCGTGCTGTGAGGTCTGATGCTGATTGGTTGTCCATAGTGTACTCACGAAGCCTGTCTTTGAGAAGAGCTTGCGGGCCATGCTCGTTATCGCCGAAGAGCGACGAAAACGCGGGACGACACCGCAGAACGAAGTCCCCGATCCGGCCGCACGCTCATAACGCCTTCTCACGCTAACTTACACTGGTCTCTAATATGCATTCTCTTTCCTCTCTGCAATCATACTATCCTCTTTTGCATCTGGGCCATAGACGTTTGGGGATGAAGCTGTCTTTTTTCTCTTGCCGTTTTCATGGGTACCTAATCATCAGTATTTCTTTCGGATCTCGCTGCATCGCTGTCGCATTTTTTGTATGTTAATAGCCAAGCATATGCTCTCATGCCTCGCCTAGTACGTTACCCGTGATACCTCTTGCATCAGACTTCCGCGTTGTATATTAGTACACCTCAACAACCCTTACTGACGTCCTTAGACTTGGTTCGCGCTTGCCATATATATGCGCTCATCCCAAGACATTGTCGCAGCGAGTTCAGCCATGTCTGAGGTTTTGCAGGGTGGTACGTGTGTAGCTTACACGATAGCTACCGACCGCACCAGGTGCTGTGCAGGTAAGTATCACCAAAAATGAGTTGCATGCATATTCTTCCAAATCACTAGACGCCTGCGCCATCAAGCAGTAGCCTAAGAACCTACTTCGTAGACTATTTGAGCCCGAACGCCTATTGCTACGTGGAGAGGCGGTGTGAGTAGCCTATTCCTCATGCTGTGCGCAAGCATCCCTTCGCAAGAGGAACGATGTCATAAAATAATCATAATGTTACTCAGCGAGCTCGCCAGCAGGCCCGGACATCCCGAAGAATAATTTACGACCCTGCCACAAAAGAAAGAAATACCGGCAGATGAGCTTCCTCATCAGTGAGCGCGCCGCTGAGCACGCTTGCGCGCATGTGCGCTGGTCGTGTTGGCGCTCTTGAAGACGCTGAGCGCCCAGCTGCCGCCGCACTTAGTGGACGCGTCGCCGGTGCACGGCATGGAACACGAGCTTGCGGAAAGGGTGCTGCCGAGGTTGTTCGCGAAGGAATTCCCGCCTTCGACACGCTGTAAGTACACACGCTCGACATAATAAGGCAGGAGAGCTTACAGTAGCATTCCGCTCCGTACTCCAGGCCAGCGATTATGAAGCCCTTCGCCGCACATGCTGCTTGGCACAGCGACGGCGACATCTGGTCGGAGGCGAAGGTATACCCTGTCAATGCGCGGCTGCTGCCGTCCTTATTGCAGCTGCTATTGACCCACTGGATACTGCCAGTTGAGCCGGACGAGCCGGGCGAAGGAGACGGAGACGGAGACGAAGGCGTGGATGAGCTGCTTCCATTAGTGGATGGGATCGTCGTAGGTGCGGTCAACGGCAAGGTTACTGGAGTTGGATTGGGGTTGTGCAGGAGCTCGAGCTTCTGCTGGCCGCCACATGTCTCGAAGACTTCGGATAGAGCTCAGCGCAGGCATTCATGCTGGACTGGTTGCACCCACCATTGCCTGAACACCGACTATAGCACTGTTCCTGCGGGACAGTCGAAGATACAGCACCGTTCATGAGTGTCTCTCCACAGAAGCATTGCTGGAGACCATCTCGTCAGTAAAAGGTCTATCAAAGAAGACGAGTGAACAAGTACGTTTCCATCTTCCACGCCCGCATATGGTAGGGCCTCGTTTGCGCACATCGCACTACAGACGGCCTTGGTCATATTATTGCCGGTAAAAGTGACGTTGGTAAGAGCACGTCCACTGGTGCCCTCCGCGATACAGCCCATATCGATCCATCCCGACGGCAAAGGCATGATCGCATCGACGAACCCGGGGTTGTCATCTCCGCTGCACGTGGGCATCGTGCCGTTCCCGTCCCACGGCAGATTGCACCCAGGGAGCGCGGCGATGGGGCTGACGTCGCCGATATCCTCGTTGACGATCTGCCCGCCGAACTGGCACGCAGACGCGGCCGTGGTATCCATCACCGCAGCAAGCGCAGGGCAGTCTGCGACGTTTCCCTGCGCAGCCGGGCACGCGTCGATGAACTGCTGTAGCAGGCTCATGTCCTTCCAGCCCATCTGGAAGTCTCCATGGAAGCGGTAGCCGTTCGTGTCCCCATTCGAGAATGACCACGTCCCCGGCCCGTTATATGGGAAGTCGCCGACGGGCGCGAACAGCTCGTAGAAGAGCGAGATGAGATGCACCGGGTGTGTGTCCGGGCAGTAGCCGTCGTTGTATGCGCCGATGGGGTACGACATGTGGGACTTGTGGTCCTCGCTGTCGAGATTCTGGCCATCCCAGCAGGAAGGGAAGAAAGCCTGTGCGCGTAGACCATCTGGACACTGGTGATCAAAAAAATTCGGGCGTTGAGCCCAGTCGGGGTCGTTAGCGTGATTGTTTGAATAGTCTGTTAGCTTCACTGAGTACTGGTTGTTCAAAGCGCAAATAATAATCCATACCCAGACACATGTAGCTAATTGCCTGATCTTCTTCACTCGACGCGTTGTAGGTACCCCTAGTGTTGTCGCCAGCCAACATCTAATCATTGAGTGAGCCAAAACATATTGAATCCCAGATGACTGGAGGCTTACCTTGAGGCCCTGGGGAAACGGCTGTATCTTGTCATTATTGGGACCGGGGCGTATGAGATAATAGATATTCATAGTGCTCTCTGACGTATATGTTAGAATCCATCGACGGTAATTCGTATGGTCGACTTACCCATGAGGGTGTAGGACCCATTGTTCGGATCGACGTAGAACATCGACGGCTAAGTGTACTTGAGTAAAGAATACGATGTGCACACGAACACAGTACTCACCACCCAATAATTGCTGAAATCCTCGGTTATTTCCATGGTAGTGCATGTGCTTTGGATGAGCTGGTTGTAGTCATAATTATCAGAAAACCCGCTTCCACCAAAGACGTCGTGGACGTGAGTCCCATACTAAAAGGAACGCGTCGTCAATCCAAGAAACATATCTGAGCCCTTCGTCTCACTCACAGTGCCAGGGTTCACAATGGGATCAAGACGAGTCCGGACAACTGCCTGAGTCCCGCCAAAAATCACGTAATTGCTCGTCGCCTGTGCGATGACTAGCCGAAGGTGCGCCAGCGCATAGAGCAGGACCAAGACGATGGGTACCATGATATGAGCCACCTTGAGTGCTGATCTTGCGGGTGCAGGCACCTTAAAGCTTGCGGCCTTGTGGCCGCACGCTTCACACGATGCATTACACTGAAGCCGTTCAAGCGGCGTAGAAGGTTAGCGTTTGATAACGTGTAAACTGTGCGCATGTCGCCTGTTTACAGCACTTTTCATAGAAAATGGGACAAAGAGAAGCCGTCTTCTGCAGTCGGTAGAAGCATGTCGCGGAGACTTTGAATGGTGGTGGTCGAGCTGCATAATCCCCGATTAAACGCGCGGGCTCTGGGATGTGCACAAAGTATAAGTACCAATAGACTTGGACATCTTTGGTGGTATTCATTATAATACTATTGCAATGGAGAGATTTACAGAAAGCATAAGTGTCACAATATATATCGACGAGAATATATGCTATGTACCTCTAGTTATCTTACGTCTCTTACAGCGTTTACATGATGCCTCAAGCTGAAGGCGGCTGAACGCCACGTTGGGACCTGGCAGATGGGACCACAGAGACTAAGCCAGAACCGGAAACTTAAGGCACTGCCGTGAAGGACTCGATACTAGTATGCTAATGGTTAGTGGGCCAGCTCAGACAATAAGATTTCATCTTACCCCATGAACGCGCGCTACACCACACAGCGTTCGATACACGAATCAATGGTCTAATATCGAGCATCCAACCATTCTGACATCTGATTCCATGTACCCGTAAGACAAATAAGCGTATTAGGTCGTGTGTTACTGGGGACTGGGAGAAAAGGGCGCGGATATATGGCGAAGAGAAGCGCCTTCAGTTCCGAGAGTATCAACAACAAACACAAATAAAAAATTCCGGCCGATCCGTGTGCACCATCTAGAAGTGGAAGAGGCCCCGCTTCTTCTTCTTTTTCTCCTCGGTGAGTGAACTCGCCGTCGACTGCACCGAGGTGCCGCTCGCATACGACTGGACGGGTGACGGTCGTGTGGAACGTCCGGGCTGCGCGCGTGTCTGTGGGGCGAGGGCCGCGGGCTGCGGCGGCGGGGCGTCGCGCGTGTAGTAGACCTCGTCGTAGAACTCCTGGAAGGGCCGCTGGCCCTTGCCCTCACTCACGCCGTTCGGCAGCGCCCGCGAGCCGACGCCGCCAAGTTCGAGGACCTTCAGGTCGTCGACGAATTCCTTCGGGGTCAGTGTATGCGTAGAGCCTGCAAACATATATGGTGAGCTTCGTCGCAGCCAGGTAAACACGCTGCTCTCATACCAATGATAATGTCCTTGTTCAAGCTCTTCGACAGCTGATAGGCCTCCCGCATCTCCGAGTAGGTCATGCCACCCGCAACGAATACGAGCACTCGTTGCTTGGCTTCCTGACTTGCCCCGGGCTTCGCCGCACGATGCCAGCTCGGTTTTGCGCTACGCAGTGAGGTGGCGCCAGTAGAAGGTGTCGCCTTGATGCTAGGCGCAGCAGACAGAGTTGGCTGGTCTTTTACATAGGGGAACATAGTAGGGTCTAGTTTGTTGTTGACATGATCCTGGAAGGCAGTGTGAATATCCCGCCTTCATCGTGGCAGAGTTCAGCGTACCTCGATTACGGTGCGCAGTAGTGGCTTATATCGTGACAGCTCGTACTCTTCTTCGTTACTCTGTTTCTGTTTCTGCTTCAGCCGCTTCTTGGTATCTTTGTCGTTCGGTCCCTAATCCAGATAGATTAGAGGTAGGTAATACCTAAAGTTCGAACTAACTGACCCTGGTTATACGGATACCTAGATGCACGAGGGCGTTGATTGCATCTTGGTCAGGCATAGACAAACGTGCGTGCTGGTATAGTCGCCGGCGATCCTCGTCCGGAACACCATCGCGATGTTGGATATAGAGTGCAATGATGCGAACTTTGTTGACGTTCCTGCAAGGCACTCGTGAATAGGCATAGCAGCTGAGATGCAAGTGACATACTGTACTTCCCGGCTATCCAGCAAGGGAACCATCTCCTCAACGAGGTGTTTGGGTGTTTTGCCTTCCGCAGTGAGGCCTGTAGAACAGTTCTGCTCAACGGTAGCGATCGCTGGCAGCTTCGCACGCTCGAAGATGCCCATGCACTCCTGGGCCATGTTCAGATGGAGAGAGAACTGCGGCGGCGGCATTAGCAGGACATCCTATCTAGTTAAGTACGCATATATGCTGACCTTTTCTCGCTGCTCTTGGAATTGCGGCAGGTTTGCCAACATGTCCTTCATGTCATTCAAGTTCGCAGCGCCCTCTCTGTCCCGCTGTAAACACTACACAACCTAGGTAGCCGTAATCGCACGCACCCTTTGAAACCAGCATTATCCTGCATAAACTGGTTGAAGTCAGCCATGAGCTTGTCGATAGCCTCGCGCATGTGCATGTGCCGGATTTCCGTCCAAACGTTGTCCGCGTCCGACAGGACCGCGGCCTTGTCTTCTTCCGTCCCAGCCGCAGTCTGGAACTTGTACATGTATTTAGTTCCATCCTCGATCGGTAGCAGGTCCGTCGCCATCGCCTGATAAGTGAACTCGTGCAGCAACGGTGCCAACGTATCCATCGTCCGGTCCGTGATGATTAGCGTCGAGCGCGATCGCCCCGCATCCGTTCTCTGTAAGCCCGTCCGACCACAGTTGAGTTAGCATACGGGCACGCAGGTCACGCTTGAGACTTACGGGGAAATCGGGGTTCGCCCTTTTGTATTCGTCCAACCCTTGCTGCACCATAAACGCCAAAATCTTCGCAACGTAGTCGCCCTCTGCGCTCTCGTAAGCACGAGATTCTTGTCCGCGGGCGAGTTGCGTTCTCCAGCGTCCACTTCCTTCGGGTGGCGGGGGTGCACGCGTGGTATCATGCGGTTTCAATGGACCAAGCGGAGGGTGATGTGAGGGGAAATAATAGCGGATGTATGGGAGCTCATTCAGTGTCACACAAACGTTCACGAGCTGCGTGAGTATCTTGTTAGGGCGCAAGCTCACAGGAGGACTAATGTTCGGAGACTAACCATCTTGCTCGTAAACCTCAGCTCTTCCTCTAGCTTGCTTCGCGCAGATATGAAAGTGGCGTCGCTTCTTGGTGGGCTAAACGCATTGAAGAATTGGCCTGGCCGCTTGACGGAGAATGCTTGTGACTCCAGCGCTGCGTCGTGTTTCAATATCCCATCAACAAGCCCGCGTCCCAAGCCGTACTCACCCCAAAAGTTGATATAGAGGTCTTGCAGCGCCTTTAGATGTGGCTCGGCCGGCGAGGATGTTAGTTTCTCAAAAAGCGGTTCAGCAAGGCCTTGAATTACAGTGTCGCTAAGCGGTCGCGTCTGAGCGTGGCACGAAGCAGTGCACGTACATACCATCTATGAAGAAGAGGTTCGCCGCGGCGTATTGTTTCCTACCGTTCGAGAAGTCACGTATTATGCGTTCTACGTTCTGGGAAGTCGGCATGAGGAGGTACACGGCCTCCATGGATGGCTGAGGCTCGCGGTAGCTCGTGATCGCCTCGATAACTACACGTGCCCAGTGAGACGGGACAGGCTATGGACGAGAAAATGTGTGCGCACGAGTAACATTTTCCTCCAAGACATCAAACTGCTTGAGCACGGAGCTCAGGAGCCGCTGCGAGTGCTCGTCTACAACGAGAATCTTCCATCGTGCCGGTGGGTTGACCGACCTGATCGCCTCTAGAAACTCTGCTCATGGTAATCAGCGTTACTCGGTGGGCCATGCAACAGTGACTACGCACTCGCTCGGACGGTTTGAATGAGAGAGGTCATGGCGGTCGGGTTGCAAGCTGTACAGCTCTGCTAATTCTCGTTTTCGGGCAGTTGTGAGCGCGTCGATCGAAATCTTATCAAGGACTTGCCTAATCGATGCAGCCCTATCCTGCTGCGTGAACACGGCGATATATTTTCAGAATGCTGAGTGCAAGAGGCCGTAAATCATGGCCGTAATACATCACAGACATATCACCAGTATTCCGGAGATCTAAATTGAACAACTTCCACCTTCCCCCGTCTCTTCTTCTCCGCTTCCCACCTCTCAACCCACTTCGCCATTTTCCCCCGCGACACCTCGCTGCCAACGTTCACAGTAGCAATCATCCGGCCCCAATCAAACGAAAGCGCGAAGCAGGTAAGCTCGAAGAACGAGCTGTGCTCAGAGTACGGCACGCCGTACAGCTGCAAGTTTGGCGTAGAATTCTTCGACGCACTGATGTCGGCGAATGTGAACAATTTTACCTGGGACTTGGCAATAACAGAGGGTATAGACGGCGAAGTATCGGACCCTTTGGACGGGGTGAAGCTGCGCGGCATCAGCACAGCTCGCTTCGTGCGCTACGCGAGGATAACTTACGTCCACCCAGTCGGCCTGAATCCGATTGCCCTCGTCCAATGGCCGTTCCATTGTTCCATATACGCCTTCAATTTATCTGAGCTGATTGCACCGAGTGGTAGCAGGTGGACACCCGCTTGGAGGGGATCAGAGGTGAGCAGGGCGTCGAGCTCGGCGTCGGCTTGACAGCGAAGGATAGCGGTTTTGCGCGAGTCGCTGTAAACTTTAGTCTGTAGGGCCTTTGCGATCGCCTTGACGATACGCTCCTTTCCGATGGAGTACGTTCTAAAGAGTCTCAAACCACGCCGAACGGCAAGAGAGTATATGGACATACCCCACTATAACAAGTGTTCTTTCAGTTTTCGCTACTTCTTTCTCTTTCGGCTTCTCATGCACGCTAAAGAAGTCGTCCACACGGGAATTCCTCGCCGTGTCCACATGCGAAGACTCGTCCAGAACGATGCGCCTGGCAAGCTCCGCGCACGCGGAGATGACCTCGCTCTGTGGCGGGAAGCAATACTAGATATAACGCACATCGTCAGCTGCGACTGAGGAAATGCATGGCAGGTCCGTGCACCTTAGGGTCGAGATACGTCGTGTCTAAGTAGACGGTGTCTATCCTTTTCCCGCGCACTGCCGGGTGCATCACATGCTGCGGCGAAGCGCGGAAGTCGCCGCAGTGCAGGTACCGGAATATGCGCTTTGAGCCGACGAAGGTGGATTTATACGCGCTATCGCCAGCGTTGACGGTCTGCTGCCCTTCAAAGAGGAACAGACATGAGCCAGGACCTGATGCGGTTCATCTCAATAAACAGCAGAATTAAGATTAGGGGATTAACGTACAGTGATTGGCCTCGATGAGAGTAACGGTAACACCTCCCGTGTTCGGGACTACAGTCGTAGCGTCCATGGGGAGCGCATGGACCCACTTGCGGTCGACACGAAGCATGTGAACAATCAAATTCGCCGTACCTTCCGAGCAGTAGATGGCCCCGCTCTTCCAGTTGCTGGACAGGTTAGTATAGTGGTCCGAATGCGCATGTCTATACAGTATTAGCACGTAACTACCTCGAAATGAGGTTCGGCCTACGTCAAGAAGTACGCTGTAACTCCAGGTATTGTGCCATAGCGGAAGGCATCCACGGCTATGGGCATGCCTTGCATGACCTTATAGAAGGGGGCTTTGCGTCGCCCACCGTTCGCCTTCGTGGGTCGAAAGTTGCGGTCTTCGACGACAGTGGCTTCTTTCCATGCTTCGTTCTCCTTATGCGAGTTCATCAGCGTGGAAAAGACACCAGAGCTGCCCGCGTTGCCTTCGTTGACCAGCGGTCTCAGATCCTCTTCGTCTCTGGGCTCAGGAGTCAAGTTGACCACTTGAGACGAAGAGACTAGTCTCAGCACTTTGGAAGGGCTGGAACTAGAAGCACTAGCGGTCATTGTACTTTTCGGAGGCGAAAGGGGTGTTGCGTCCATGCAATCGTTGACATGCCTTTGTATCTCCTGTATAGAATGAGTGATCGTTCAGCAAAAATCGAAGTAATGGACGCACTAGATGGGACAACTTGTCCAACAGTATGTTGCATACTGGACACGTCGTCTGAGCACTGTCTTCGGCACCCATTGGGACATCCTGTCCTTCGAAGGAAAGGTCGGCATCTACTTCATCACGATCGTCCAGAGCGATGTCGTTCTCGGCAGGGGCTGCCTCGTCATCACCAAGCTCCCACTGATCGGTAGACGTCGCGTTGGCGACAGGAGTATACGCGTAGGACGTCCTTTCTCGAAGGAGCTCCTCATTCGCGTCAGGCTTTTGCAGCGGATCAAGGGATGGTCGGTGTGGATGTTCCTCCTCTACTCTTGTCGTAGATGAGCCTGACCCTTCGCCCGCCTGGTAACCGACGTCGAGGCAAGTCTTGGTATTGTTTAGAACTGTCGGCCACAACGAGGCAGATGTTGCGGGTGGTGGGGCGGTGCACCGTGGCTCATCACGCAAAAGTAGTGACGGTACTCCGAAATCCGGGCTATCTTCGTCTGTACGTTTTGGCTGGGACGAACCCTGTCCTGCAAGAAGCGAGGGCTCACCGAACGACATGTCGAAGTCTTCAGCATTGGATGCTGAGCCGTACTGAACGCTAGAAGCATTTGGTAGCGGCTGCGCGGTAAGCACCCTTTGAAGTCCTTCCCTGGCAGCCTTGGAAGTGGAAGGAATGCATAGGGTGGCTGCAGACGTGTCCTCGACCACCTCAATGTCTGAAGAGTCATCCAGGACAACTGGTTCTTGCGACTCATCATCGTCAATGAATATGATGTCTTCAGGAGTGACCGAGAATGATGGCTTCTTCACACTCCTTTTAGTAGCCTGTGCAGGCTCGGTCGCCCGCAACTTTGCCTTCTTATTGGCATCGTTTCCGCCCCTCTTGAAGAAGGCGTCGAGGGTGGTAGCCTGAGAAGTCTCTTTTCGTTTCTTTGCCATGCAGAGCACTGCTCAGGCGTATCCGGTAATAGCGAGAGAGAGAGGTTGTACACCAGACTCAACAGTTTGTCAAGTGCGGCAGTGGTGACTCGGAGAGCCCTGGCGCGGTATATGAACAGACGCCCCGGCGGCGGGCGACCAACGATCAAGCGCCCAATAGCCGCGGCAGCGTCGCTTCCGGGGCAAAATCTGTGCGCCGAAAAAAAATGCCATTCTGGCCTGGAGCCGGTCAAGCGTGCAGTACAAAGGCTAATATCCAAAATCCCACTATCTTTGGTCAATTTCAGCCGATTTACGGCGTCTTGGCTATGCTTGACTTGACTGCGCCCAAGCGAACTCGGCGCCCAGAAAGGCAAGGGGCGGGGCAATGCCGGTAATGCCGACGGGTGATGAAGTTTCCCATCAGTGCGCGACCGGATATGGCAATTATCGCTTGTCCTTAAATGCTTGGCGAATGTTAGGCGGGCTGTCAAGTGTCCTTCGTGCTTTATTTCTCTCCTTTTCGTCGTCGTCGTCGTCGCCGTATTTACCTCCGAGCACTTGCTGCTCTCTGTCATTCTTTTTGTGCTACACATTCCACACTAACTCACGATTAAAATGAAGCTTGAGGCCCTGGCCGTTCTCTCTGCCCTCCTCGTCAGTGCCAACGCACATGGCAACCACCACCACATTGCACGAGACGTCTATGCCCGCCAAGCATCGTCTGCGGTGTCCAGATCTGCGTCCTCCTCGACCGCTTCCTCAGCTGCGTCTACCTCGTCTAAGTCTGTAGCGTCGGGATCTGCTGCTTCGACCACCACTATGCCTATCCCATCCAATCTACCCTCTCCTCCTTCTGGGATCCCGCCCCTCCAATCTATCAGCTCTGGCATGTCAAGTGGAACGACTGCCATGGTCACTGCGACGTACACCGTCAGTGCGACCCCTTCGTTCGCCGGCGCACCACCACTACCAACACCCTGTGAGTGCCGATGCCCTATCAATCCTATAGCATAATTTATCTGTCTTTGCAGTCGTTTATGTGCAAAGTCAATGGCCGACAATGGACGTCGTCCCCCCGATCAACTCGTCGCAGGTCGCGGAGTGGATGAAGGAGCTCGAGGGCGTCGACATTCCAGACCTGGAGCCCACCAAAGATGGGGACTGTGCCGAAGACCCTCAGTTTGCTTCGGACGCCCAAGCTCGAGGCTGGTGGACTTGCGGTGGCTGGACTGCCCCAACTGATATTGTTGCGTGCCCCGACAAGATGACCTGGGGTGTTTCTTTCGACGACGGCCCTTCGCGATATAGTACGTGTCGGTCATTGTTTCAATAGAAGTACTACTGACCATGCCATGTAGCCCAGTGCGTTTGAACGTGATTTGTCTCAAGCTCCCTCGCTGAAAGTGATTGCCGCCAGAACTCTACTTAATTACTTGGACGAGAAGGATCTACGTGCGACCTTCTTTGTTGTCGGCTCCCGTGTTATTCAGCTCCCTGCGGTCCTAGTTGAGGAGTATATGAAGGGTCATGAAATCAGTGTCCACACCTGGTCTCATCACGTGGGTCTTCATCGCCGTCTCCGGCCGAGCTTAGCTGCTAATATTGACCGGACCCTTCATAGCCCCTTACATCCCTAACGAACGAGCAGATAGTCGCAGAGCTGGGCTGGAGTCGTGAGGCAATCAAACGAGTCCTCGGTGTCACCCCCACGACGATGCGCCCGCCTTATGGTGATATCGGTATGCAGCTCCGATCTACGTCCGCCTCGGAGCGCTGACGGAGCGCCTCTAGATAACCGAGTTCGCGCTATTTCGCTCGCCATGGGTCTTACACCTATCATCTGGACTGCCACGCCTTCTGGCCAGAAGTTCGACACCAATGGTACATTTGCTCACCTATGTATCATCTCTCCGTGCTGACGTCGCACCCAGACTGGCGTGTTGCGGGCGGTCAGATGAACGCCATCCAGCAGTTCGAGTCGTTCGAGGCCATCCTTGGTAACGCTACCGCCATCAACACTGGGCAAGTCCACACAAAGATGCAATGTTGCAGAGGGACTGACACTACAGCAGCCTCATCGTCCTAGAGCATGACCTGTTCGAGATTACCGTCGACCTCGCCGTCGGCTTCACGCTCAACGCCGCGATGACTCACAACCCGCCGTTCACGCTCAAGCCGATCGGCCAGTGCATGAGCATCCCGATGACGGACATGTATATGGAGACGACGACGAACCAGACATACAAGGCCGAGCGCGCGGCTGCCCTCGCGCACGTCAACGAGACCGCCGCGAGCTCGAGCTCATCAGGTAGCAAAGGTGCGAACGCAAGTGGTGCGGACCCTATGGCCTTCTCCCTCTTTACAGCAGCCACCGCGCTCGCGGCGGCCGGCTTCGCTTTGATGCTCTAATTTATTCAGTACACTGGGACTCACTGCATTACTTTTTGGACCGCACACACAGACTCACGTAGATCGCTTTACGTTCTAGTTAATACATATCCCACCAATTCTGGGTTTTGGATGGTAGCACAGCGTCACATATGTCCGTCGTAAGCACTGTCCGTCGTCGCGCCTATACATCGTCCTAGAATGCAAGGAGCAAGGCGCCGACCGCGGCGACCCACCACTGCGAGGCCACCTGCGCCACGGCGCCGCTCGTCTGCGAGCTGCCGCTGGCGCTGGCGGTCGCGAGCTCGTTCTGCGACGTGACGGTCGCGAAGAAGCTGTTCCACGCGGCGATCGTCGCGCTCGGGTACGTGTACGTTGACTGCGTCGTGCCGGAACCAACGTAGATGCCAAGCTGGCCGGGGTGCACCGAGCCTGCGAGCGACGCGACCTCACCGCCGACGACGCTCACGCCCGTGCCCCCGCTGCTGTTCGTGACGAGCCCGGTCTGGTTGTTGCCGAGCACGAATTCGCGGAGGAAGACGAAGGCCTGTGCGGAGACGTTGTGTCAGTGTGTGGTGTCAAAAGAGAGGCGGGGGCGGATACACACGCGCTCAGGCTGCTGCTGCGCGACGAGGTGGCCCGCGTTCTCGACGAGGATGAACGTCCAGTTGCGCTCCTGGTGCGCGATGCCCGCGAACACGCCGTCGTCGCCGAACCATGGCGTCGCGGGCGGCTGCGTGAAGCCCTGAATGCCGCCGAAGGTCGTGTTCTGGATGACGACTATGCACATGCGGTGAGTACGGGTAGGTGTTCATGATGAGCGCAGGGGCGATACGCACTTTCGGACGAGATGTGCGAGACGAGCGAGTCGTCGTTGCCTGAGTAGATGATCACGTGGACGCCGTGCTCCGTCGCGTTCGTGGCAAGCTCGTTCAGGAACACCATCGGCCTGGCAAGTTGAGTTAGCATCCCGCGGATCAGCTGGTGGGCTGCAAAGCTTACTCAGGGCTGGGATCGATGCCAGAATTACTATTGTCTGAGATACGTGAGCAGGCCGCATTATCCAGCAGATTCTGTAACATACTGAATGGATAGTTGATGCTTTCTTGCCAGTCTTTGCTCGTTGGTGCGTGGATAGCGGCGCGCGTGCTGTTATCTGCCAGATGAAAACGTGTCAATACTGCACACCGCAAAAGCACAACATATTGCGATCTACCATTCAAGAAGACGCTACCATCCATGGGAGCTTCAGGGTCTAGAGCATCTGGAATCTGGTAAACATCAAAGCCATTCTCGGGATCATTCCCCTCTACGAAGACGAAGTCAGCATCAACAGCGCAACGTCACAGCAAACGCGTACTCCACGGCAGACTAAAGTTGAGCGCATAGTCGATCATCTCGTCGTAGAGGTCGCACTCATAAAACGGATCGATGGTGCCATTCGCGCGTCCGCTGAGGTCCCGCTTCCACTGGTCGCGCTTCGCGAGTCGCTCCTCGTCGAACGGCGTGCTGCGCCGGACAACGCCTGCGCGGCGCTCGAGGATATCCTGTTTGAGCGACTGCTTGAAGAGAATCGTTTTGCCTGCCTTGCGCCGCGTCTCTAGCGTGTCAATGCCATTGGGGAATGGGGGGTTCAAGGTTGGGAAGGTGCCATTCTGCGGGTACGTCATGTTTAGGTCGTATCCGCACAGGTGCGACCTGACTCGAGTTTTAGCAGAAGTCACGCGAGGCAGCGAGTTAGGCCGTCGCTTACTGTTCTTTGAAGTACGCATATACTTGCTGGTCATAGCCTATCAACTGGGGGTAGGTCTCGATGACCGTAAGCTGTAAAGACGTTGATTAGCCGCGTCGGACGCTGAGAGAAAGGGTCGTACCGTGGGCAGCTCCTCGAACTCAGCGCCGCTTCCGAGCGTGCCGTCGCCAATGGCAATTCTCGAGAGGTTCACTGGTGGATTCTCCATTCCGAAGTACGTCTTGGTGATATAAGGCTTTAAGGTAAAAGTTCAGCATACGTCCGGGCGTCGGTTTTCTGTGAATTGAACTTACGATATAAGTACCAGCGTAACTCTCGCCAGTTAGAAACAGGGGCCTCGTTGCCAAACTCGGGAATACCTTCACCAAATTGGCAAGGAAATTCATCTATCAAGGTATGGCAATTGGGGATCAGCACTGCGTCCTAACATCAGGCAGGCCTAAACTGACAAAGTCCTGGCCCATTTGATCCTCATCAGCGACTAATTAAGCTGAGTCAGCGTACGGAGGGCGAATCATGCACGGAATCGCTCACCATATCCAGTGGAATCGGCAGTCGAAAATCCTGTTCCACTGAGAGGCAATTAAGATGGGGATGGCTTTACCAGTAAATATCAACTTACACCGGCTGGTCAACCCAAACGTAGTCCGCAAGCTGGTGCCAGCTAAAGTTGTTTGAAAACATCGAATAATCGTCCCGAATGTGGAGAGGTCCATTCTGCAAGACAGCTTTCAGCAAAAGGCTCATGCTGCAATACTTGCCTCGCACTTGCCTCGAACAACAGTCCAAGCAGACTTGAGGAGCCTGGTCTGCACCACTCATCAATACCACATTGCCAGTCAATCGAGATCATGTTTACCCTCCATTCAACCAGATGCCCCAGGGCTCAGTGCTCTCGCTGGCATTGGCAGTCAGCGAACCGTTTTGTTTCTCAAAGGCCCAGAAGAATAGGGTGTCGTTCGGATGACCAGGGCGGTCGACAGGAATGTTACCCGCCCAATTACGTCCCAGCGGAAATGTTACGTTAGGTAGCGGTTGGGTGACCTGAAAATCTGGTTGGGGAGGGTCAGCAGACGCCAGCGAGCTGTAGCATAGTCCAAGAAGTGCTCACAGGACTGCCACTCGGGGCTGAAGTTACCCGATGGCATGCCCGGGTAGACGTGAGGAAAACTGCTGGGTAGCCCGGGGGAGGCTGGCTGCGCGCGGGCCGCACCGAGAAGGGCAGACAAGGCGAGCCAACGCTTGAGCCGGTTCGCATGCATGTCTGGACGTGCGAGCTCGTGAAGGTCGTGAGAGGGTAACAACCGTTCTGCGGAGGCACTAGGGCTTTATATAACACGCTTAGCATGCGGGTGCCCTGATGTATGGCGGCACATTCCATCAAAGATACGAGAAGCCCTCCAAAACAATGCAAAGCCTGCCTCCCGCGTCGCAGGGATGGCTAAATTTGCGCATGGGTCGGCCCAGCAGCGTGGATGAGAATAAAAGGGTAATTAACGTCCAAGCATACGTTGCAAAAACGGTCACAAAGATAGGCTTTGGAGGCCTTCCTCAGGCTGGAGTGGTCACCGGTCACCACCGAAGAGTGCAGAAGCTGTTGCTGCGTCTGACACTGCCATTCCAGAGTTCGAATTGACGCTCTTGGTGATGTCCAGTATTACCCGATCGCGCAAGGTTTTGACGGATGGCAGGAAGACTAGTACTAGCGAAGTCGTACTCGGCCGGGTCTCCACGGAGACAGCACTCCTTTTCGCATGAATCGCCACTGGGGCTACAGCAAATACTGTATATGTAGCTCATGCACGGCAGAGCCATTGCGGCGCTCCATCGTCTTCTGCGATACCGTGCGAAGGGCTTGCGAACTGCAATCACCTAGGGGGCCGGCGGTACTGTTTGTGAACACATCTATGGTGGCAATGAGTCATGTAAGGGCCGCAGGGCATTCAGGCACACGGATGGGGTTGGACGCTTCGCAGTAGCGTTGCATACGATACCCGACGGTATTTTCAGGCCGCTCGGGACGCAGCTGACCAATCTGCACATACCTCAGCGATGCATCCTGCGAAAAAACGGTCAGATACATGTCAGGAAAGGGTAGACAAGCCGCCCATCATCCGATCTCCGCGACCAAAACGGTAGACTGGGGAACGCGCACGAGACACCGATGACAATAATTACGACGTTAGCGAGCATGATGAATCCCATCCACGTCTCTGCCCCTTGTGCCTGTAAAGATGATGTCCAGTCATATCGAGGTGGCGCGATTGAGTCTCCACGTGCCTAGCGAGCTTCGTAGTTTAGGTTGACGAGGAGGGGCAGTCCTTGGCTATGATTACTCTATGTATCATAATATTCAGAACACCACATCGTACAGTTACAGCCTGATATCCGCAGCACACGACTGCTTCAGTGACACACGTTGCAGTCGCAGCATCCACATGCACAAGTACGTACAGCGTCTCAACGCAGCCACGGAAACATTACTCCAGCCCGATAGGCCGATCGAGAAGACGATACGCAGAATCTTATGCCGAGTAATCGAGTTTCGCTATAAGGACTGTGTCAGCATCGTGATACGCGGCCCTAAGCTATAGTCAGCACTCACTCTCGTGCTTCTTTGCCTCCGCGACCTTCCGCGCAGCTTTCGTCAGGTCCTCCTGGATGACGTACTCTCTGTCGTCGCGAATGGCGAACATGCCCGCCTCCGTCACGACATTCCGCAGGTCCGCGCCGTTGAAGCTGTCCGAGAGCTTGACGATGGCCTCGTAGTCGATCTCGCCGGACTTGTTAACGGGTTGCGCGTGAATCTTGAGAATTTCCAACCGCGCCTGCTCGTTCGGGAGGGGTATCTCAATCTTGCGGTCCAGGCGGCCCGGACGCAGCAGCGCAGGATCCAATGTGTCTGGTCGGTTTGTCGCCATGATGAGCTTCGTCCGCCCGAGCGAGTCGAAGCCGTCCATTTGGTTCAGCAGCTGCGGGCGCATTTAAGCTTCTACGCGGGAGAACAGAGCTTGCGGAGTCACGCACCTCCATCAGCGTCCGCTGGATCTCACGGTCTGCACTGGTGCCCTCAGAGAACCGCCGTCCACCGATGGCGTCAATTTCGTCCATGAAGATAACACATGGCTCGTGCTCTTTTGCGTAGCCAAACATCTCACGGACGACCCGCGCAGATTCGCCAATGTATTTGTCTACGATAGCAGACGCGACCACCTTCAGGAAGTTCGTGTTCAGCGTGGCTGCAACTGCACGCGCGAGCAACGTCTTGCCGGTACCCGGAGGGCCATACAGCAGCACGCCCTTCGGTGGATCGATACCAACGCGCTGGAAGAGTTCAGGGTTCAGGAGCGGAAGCTCGATAACCTGGTACGAGCCGAAGTTAGACCGCCCAATACTGCCGCATGAACGTACGTACCTCTCGCAGTTCTCGCACTTGCTCGCCCAAGCCACCAATACCGGCAAACGAGGCCCCCGCCGGGTCCTCAAGACTCATCTTATAGACCATAGGGTCAACCTCGCGCGGCAATATCCGCATGATCGTCAGTGTGGTCATGTCGAGACTGACACGGGTTCCCGCTTTGAGCTTCGAGACGGGCAGGGCAGGTCGGTATGATACAACGTAGCGCGGCCCTGACGACGCTTTTACAATGAACCGTTCGTCGTCCAGTTGCTTGAGCACCTCCGCAATGATTTGGCCCACCGACTGGATGGCCTTGATATCGTCCTCAGTCTTGTCGAACTCTCTCTCGAGGTCCTTCAGGGAGAATCGCACTGTAGCTCACAAGGTTAGCATCCTGCAACAGACTGCAGGCACAGCTCCTCGTACAGTTTTTCAGTGCCTGGCTGTTTGCTTCATGTTGCCGCATTTTCTGTCCGAACTCAGTATATGATGAGTACATAGGACTGAATATACATACCTCGCGATACCCCTTGAACGCGGTAACCCTCCGCTCGTCCATTGAGGTACTTGAACCCGAAGGTTGTGAAGACATGATTTAGAGGTGAAAGATGTGAGGTCAAGAAAGAAGGCGGAAGTAAGTGTAATAGCGTCAGTGTGCAGGACGCGAAGACGCGTCGCCCATGCCCAGATTTCAAGGTTAGGGTTTTTAGGGTTAGGGACGATGCTGACTAAGCTGCTTCCAACCTTACGGCCAGCTGGCGCGATAATGTGGCCGTATAGATGCTCGTAGAGCTTATGTTTCACTTGTATGGGTCAAGACCTCTGAATCGATTTACGGGATGAAATTGCAACAGAGTGGTATGATATAAGATACAGTGCTAGCACAGAGGGTAGCAAGACTAGCCCTTTTTGAATCCTGGTTGCCCAGCCAAAATATTAGCCGAGAATCGTGTAGCACGTGTCCCAACAACACTCACCAAGTCTGCGCCTCTCGTAGAATAGATCTGTCCGACTTGCACCCAAGTTGACAATCTTCGGGCATCCATCACGGTCCTTCTCTAATCTTGTGCACTCGGCGCAGTAGTAAGCGTCAGAGATACCTGTAAAGAACGTTAGTGAAAATGGGATACAGGGTACAAGCTGAGGCGCACCAGGAGAGCCGCAAATAATGCATCGTCCGCCGTAAGTACCGAAATTACACTCATCACAGATACGCACGAGAGTTTCAGGGCGCACGTAGGAGTCACAGACGGGACTGAGGAGCTGTTAGAATTATACTATACCTGGTAAGTAGCATAGCTTACCATTTTCCGTCGCATTTCTCGCAGAGTCGTCCAATGGCTGGAGGAGAAGCGGTCAGCTTGCTGTACATACAACGGGCTGCGTAAAACGTACCGATACCCGGTTGCCGCCGACACATGATAAGATCTATAGCAGCGGTCAGTAAAATAGACACACAGAGAAGGCTCGCTGAGGACGCACCGGGATGGTGCTTCGACATGTTGGAAGGTGAAGGTCGTAGTCAGCAGCTGAGGACTCGCGAACTCGCGAGTCGCGCGGCATTCAAGCCCAAAGCAGGTGTCACGTGGATACCACATGGCCATCGGGGCGTCTGACTTGAATCCCGCCCTCCGAGCTGACTCATGCACTCGCTGAGGACTATGTAGACAACTATAATATTCACAATGTTCGATGTCTAATTAACACAAGTAATGATATAAGCACAGGGATGACAAGGGACACAAGTACAATGGGTGCTGATATTATGACAAATGGAAACTTCCAACACCTTCCCGCATAGCGATCGTGAGCTTCTCCTTCATCACAGCCTTCGACGAGTACTCGGGCAGCTTCAAGTAGTTGACGCATGTCATGACGCTTGGCAAGTAATCGTCCGCAGTCAGCGGAGACTCGTGGGGCTTGCGCACGACCGTGAGAGGCGGGTTCAGCCCGCGGAAACCTAGACAAGTGGCATGAGCACCTCAGGAAGCATACAGTGACGTGCTTGAGTCTCACCTCCGATGGGAAGCTTTGGGCTACCAGTGATGAATTGCAGGTAGCTACGGCGCATAGGTAGATCATACTCGGACATGATGTCCAAAAGATCGTGAATGGCCCGGCTTTCGACGTTGAAGCCATGGTCGGCCTTGATCGCCTCGTTGAGGGCTGAAGTAACCAGTGAGCTTCCATTTAATTTAGCAAACGAAACCGCAACGCACTCTCGATACTCCAGTCTTCGTCGGAGTTACCGAATAGCATAACAAGCTCATCCCCGGTGAAGGCCTGGAGATCCGCAATGGGGAACACCTTGGAGAATCCTTCGCGGAACGCCTTTGCCTGCAACATCGCACCTTTGCCGATGATAGCGTCAATAACCTCGGCGATGTACTCTTCGACATTCTCCGAGGTCACTGCCAGAACGCGGCCGCCGGGGCGAAGCTCGATGTCGTACCCCGGGATGGTGAAGTCGAGCGCGAGATCCTCAACGTTGACCATGCCTAGCTTGCGTCGTATCTAAACCATGTCAGTACAGGTGACAGGAACAGCTGCTGTAGTTCGAAACTAACTTTGTCGCTCTGGCCGGTGTGAACGGTCATCCCGCGGAGCTTGACAAGTGACGCAGCAAGTTCAAGGTCGACACGCTACAAACATATCAGCCAGCTGCAAGCACCACAATTTCACCTGGAGCTTACCTTCAGATTCTCGATGGTCAGAGGAATTTCATCGCCGAGGATGAGCTTTAGGAAGACCTTGTTGAGCGACAGATCGATTATGCGAGAGTCCAACATGGCCTTGGCGACGAATTGTCCAATGACGCGGAAGATGTGAGTCCGTTTCCTAAGAATACCGCACACAATCAGCTAAACGCAACAGTACAGACCGGAAAGGAAGACGTACAATCCACCGTCACTAATGATGTCTTCTGGAGGAATAGGCGCAGGGAACAAACCAGCAGGATGATGGACGTAAGCACCAGGCTTCGTATCGTCAGCATCCCGCCAGATCTTCAAGTCGCGTCGAGCGAACTCCTTCGAGACCAGCGAGTAGAACTCCAATGTCGGTCCCAGACCTGTGCCGACCTCCTCAAAGTACTCGACTTCGAGGACAGATGACGACGAGCCGTACAGTTCGAACACCTTGACCGCGGATTCCAAGATGTGCTTTCGCGAGATGCGGACCTTTTGGCGCTGCAGGCGACCTAGGAAGCCGACGCCATCGTCTCGCCGAGAGCTACTATCTTGACCACGCTGCTGCTGGCTCTGCCACTTTAGAATGAGACGAGCGTAGCCGAAAGATGTAGACTGCAAGAAGTTGTAACGAGTGGCAAAGGGGAAGAGAAATGGGAAATGTTGCGGGAGGTCTAAAGCCCAGTCTGGCAAACAAGAGCTGGCAACAGATTAGCTCCTACCCCAGAAAGCTTGTGAATTGTATGCGTACCTGGCAACGATCATCGGCTCTTCTAGCTGCCTGGTAAGCTTCGCCGTCAGCTTGTTGTTGATGAATGCCGATTCTGGCAGCGTGCGAATTGGAGCGTTGGAGCTGACCCTTTCTGCTTCAACGGCATTCAATTTGTACAGAACGCGAAGCAGGCGCAAGATCTTCGCGTGGGGGGCGTCCTCGGGTAAGGACGACAAAGATGGCGCTGGCGAGCGGCTTCGTGAAGAGACGTCGTCACCACGAGCTGCATCAATTCTATGAGTACTCGGAAGACTAGACTGTACAAGTCGCTGCTCACATTCAGGCGAAGGCGCGGGTCCCGAGACCTTCTTGAACTTCACGGTATAGATACCTTGCCAAATCATACTTGGCGGCAAACCGGTCTTCTTGCGGGCTTCCTGCTGATGGATGGCACCGTACACGGTCAAGTCGAGTGGCAGCTTTTGGTCGTCCATGGAGAACTCGAGGTGCCAGTCGTTTGGTTTAGCCTTGAGCGCAGCAGCGTACGAGGTTTTTGGTGTGATTGAGGTTCGAAGCCCACTCGAGATCCTTGCGGGATTTGGTGTCGCGACTCGTGTGCCATCCGGCGTCTGGGCGATGACCTTGGACCCATCTACAAACACATCAGTATCAATCCATCCCGTTAACATGTGTCTTACCATCGCCGACTGACACATTGACGGTCTTGTCTGGTACTTCCTGGTCGCCGTCTTCGTCGATAACCTCAGCGTCAACGTCAACCTCGTCGTCGGTGAAGTCTGCACCGAAGTCATCATCCACAACTGTCTCGCTTGGCGCCACCTCAGGGGACTCAAGGACTGGGGTAGATTGAGCAGCATCGTTGTTCTGTCCTTCAGCGGCGGGCTCTGCATCCTTCGCCTTCTTTGCACTCAGACGTTGACTGCGTCGTCGGGTAACACCACCGTCTAGTGATGGGTTGTCGTTGTCTGCGGGCCTAGAGGCTTCACCGCTCGCGAGAGCGCTAGCAGCAGATGCTCCCGCGAAGCCAGAGGCTTGCAGTGCAGCAAGCATACTAGACAGCCGAGAACCGCCAGCCATGAGACCGGCAACCCTGGGACGAAGATAGTCGTGTAGCGCTTGGAATGTCGCGATGGCATGGATGGAGACTATGACATTGTTGAAGCTCTTCGGCACGTCCGGATCCTCGGCACCCACTAGACGCAGACGTATCTGCCTGGCTAGCAGAGAGGGGGAACTCCTCTTGGACTCTGAGACACAATTAGCCAGGATCGAGCTAGTAGAATTGGATCTCCGACGTACCATCAGCACTTTGAGCAACGGTAACAACCTCGAATGACTCCATCCGGGTGAGACTCTCCTGGAGCTTCTTCACAAAGATGGCAAGGGGTGTCTGGCCATTGGCGCCCTTGACTTTGCGCGAAGTAAATGCTTCAAAAAAGAGCTCCCTTCGCTTCTCCACGCTCGCTGAAAATAGCATCAGTGCACATGCCTACTGATGTAGTGAATGCGCTCACAGGTCCTATCTGAATCCGAGATGAAGGCCAGCAGGCCGTCAACAACTCCACTTTGAAGCAGCTCGAAGCTGGACACGGAGGTGTGTGGGGATGCGAACAGGCTCGCAAGCTCTACCAAGACTGGCATCAAATCCTTTTCCTCGGCGTCTTTGACTGCGAGCTGAGAAACCAAGCGACCAAGCTGCGCCGACAAGTCGTCCATGGTGTCGGCCTCGTCACCGCTGAGGTATTTGAACTTGATGACTTTTGCGCGGATTGTGATAGCATCGTCAGGATCGTTTGCAAGGGACGATAATTTCTTGTAGCCAGGGACGAATGCCAAAGACGCGACAGTGGGAACATATGTAGGCGTGCCCGCGTCTGCCGGTGAAGGGTTGTCGGAAGCGTCCTTGTCCTTTTCTTTCTCCTTGTCCTTGGCTTTCGAGCTGTTCAAGGACCTCGCTGCGAGGGCCTCGATCTCGTGGAAGACACCTTCCCTTTTGAAGGCAGGCTTGTATTCGGCGGGAACCTTGGTTAGGAGCAGTTCGACGAGTTGCAATGCACCAATTACAAGAGATGGCGAGTCTTTGGACGACAGGATAGACGAGGCAAAGCTAGCGACAGGCACGAACTAGACAGAAGTCAACATCTCGGCAGCAGCACACAGAAACAGTGGACATACCGTGAAGACACGCTTGAGGTCGTCTGCGTCTAGGAAGCTGACAGCCTTCAACAGACCCGTGAGGCTCTTCACGCGCACTGGTGCGATCACGCTTGCGGCATAAACGTCCACGAGGATTGGAACCATGAGTTGCATGAATCGGCCAACCACGTCGGGTTTAGAACGTAGTAGATCTATCCGGCTGACTGACTGCTCCTTGGCGGGAGTAGCAGACAGCGTATCGGGATCGGCCTGGGAATGATTGTCTGCGACGGATTCAGGAGCTGGACTATCTTCTGTTGGAGCGACTGTTCCAGAGACAGAGCCGCTCGCGGGTGGAAGACCCACAGCCAGATTGGCAGCGTTGACGGCAGCAAGACGGGCGGCAGCCCGTTCAGCCTTGGCCTTGTGCTTGTGCATTCGGCTGAGCGCCTTCTCCGTGTATGCCTTATGGTCGAATACTCCGTCTGCAACGACATTAAGTTGATGCCGCAGCGTGTTATACAACGGTAGAGCGTACCTTTCGGCAAAGGTGGCATGAGCTCAGACACGAGGCTCAGTGCCTCCTCGATCTGGTCCTTCGGGCGATGCGCGAGGTTCTCCATGACTGTCATATCGGCGAGGCCACCTCCGAGGCCCTGACCGCTACCGGCGTCGCCTTGTTCATCTGTACCGCTAGAGGTTGGAGGCAGCACGCCGGTGAGGATCTGGTACAGTGTGTCGACGATACCAGCTTCGAGGAGGACAAGCGTGATCTTAGGGCTAGCCCTAGCTGAAGTCGCAAGGGCTCGAAGCAGCTGTGTGAAGGTGTTGACGGCAATCAAAGGCGAGCCGCCAGACGGCATCAAGAGGTTGTTGACCGCCTGGATGAGCTCCGTATCGACCAACGCCTCCAGATGATCTGACGCAGTACGGTAGTACGCATCCACGACCCGGATAACGCACAGACAGGCGTACTCAACGAGGCGTTGATCAGTATACCCCAAGCAGTTCCGTATGATGGGCCAGACGCCGCGAATCATAGGGAAGTGCTCAGGGGACACGTTGCGGCAGCAGTTCGAAGCAGCCTGGAGAGCAGTTCGCTGGACGGCTATTGAGAAGAAATCCAGATAGTTGAGGAGAGCGGCCAAGCCGCCTTCCCGAACAATCGAACTAGGAAACTCTTCCGAAATCTTCTGCAAAGTCTGAAAGCGACATATAAATTCGCTCTCGGTACAAAAGGAGGATGCAAACGAGACTTACGCTCAGGGTCTGCTCTGCAAGATCAATATAGGATATTTCAATCAACTTGCTACACAGCACGGGGATTGCTCCATGATAGACCACAGTGTGAGCTACACCTGGCAGTGCTTCCATCAAGTTCGCCAAGCAACGACATGCCAGCACCTGAGCCTCGAGATTCTCGTCACCTTGGAAAGCTCCGCCTCCGGTACTGAGGGCGATGGCAGCAGCAAGGGCAGCATCTTCATCCTGTTCGTGATCTTCGTCTTCGTCCCCATCTTGTTCGTTCCCAGTGCCGCCGAGAATCCTAACAAGTTCCCGTACGAACGCCTCGACAGGGAAGGAGCCAGCCAAAGTGTCTTCTGTGCTGATACTGAGAAGTTCGCTGAGCTCTTGAAGGGTCAACAGACGAGTGGTTGGATCAGCAGTGCGCTTGATGTTGTTGAGCATAGTCTTCAGCCGGCTCGAGAGACCAAGCATATAGCTTCCCAGATGCCGATAGTCTCCAAACATGGATAGTGGCGCAGAGTCGTCTGCACCACTCAAGCCGCGCTCCGCCCTTGCTTCCTCGGCGTCTTCGTCTTCATCATCGTGATCACTCTCTCCGCCATCCCCACCACCGTCGTCGATAACGTCATCTTCGTCCCTGTCGTCGTCGCCGTGCTTGTCGCTCGAGTCGTGCGCGTCTTCAGGTATATACTCAGCATCAAGCATCTCAATGTCCTCGGCTTCGGCTCTCGAGCTGCTAGGTATACTGGCAACCATCGCCTTGTTCCTCGATGCGGTCTTGCCCTTTCCGGAGGTCGATCTGTGCGGCATCAGCAGCGGCGCAGCAGAGAGGTAACAAACGTCTGACCTGATCTTCTTCGGCATATCAGTCTGTGGTGCAACTGCTTCTGTGCGGGATCGGAGGGAGTATGTAGTCGTGCTAGGTCGGGTACGCTTCACAGGTGCGGATACGGAAGTCACAGCCTCCTCGTCAGAATTCTCGTCCGGAGCTGCGCGCTTCTTGCCTTTAGCGTCTTTGACGGGCTCGTTGATGGTCAGTGGGGGTGCTGCAGGGAACGTCGAGCGTCGTGCTCTGGATGCCCAAAGGCTTAGTAACGGGACAGAGCGAGACAGACGCGTTGTCGTACCTCTTGCTTATTCTGGGAGTGTCGTCCGAGACTTCTTTCCCCTTGCCCTTCAATGTGATCTCCCGAGTACGTTTAGAAGGTGAGGAGCTCGGGGGCTGAGGTTGTTCTGCGCGTTCTCTTTCCTTTTCCTTTGCGGCCTTGACTCGTGCGCTCGAGCGTAGTGCCTTGGTCTCTAGGCTGATTGTCGGTGTAGAACTTGATGGCTCTCCTGGATGCGACGTCGCTTCTTTCTGTTGGGTAGAGTCCATTTAGTGTATACAGCCTGCCATCGATCCCTATGCACAGGTAATCGTTCCGCAAGACAAGAGCTGTGGTGGATGGGGGCACTAGTTAGGGAGGTTCACAGCCGCTTAGGTATTTTCAAGCTCATCCCCAATTGCAAAAATCTCCGCTCCAAAAGAATTATCTAATTTCAAGATAGACAATGTGTATTTTCAATTTGACCTCCGCTTTTGCTATACAAGTAAAGCCTACTCGACGAAGCTTTCACTCAAAACCTCTTCTACAGTTGCAACGAAGACTGTTACAATATCCTCTACCTGTTCCTTAGTAATGTTGTATGCGGGGGAGAGCATGATCACATCGCCTTTGCTCCCGTCAAGAGTCGCCGTACCAGTCATGCCCATGATAATCAGGCCCTTATCCAAGGCGCGCTGCTGCACCACAATCGCAAAATTTGCACCCTTCAAGTCGAGCCTGCGGCATTGGGGTCCGTCAAAGTCAAACTCAACACCCCACCAACAGCCTGCGCCACGAATGTCAAAAACGTAAGGGGCGGCGATGCAGTTGGGAGAAAGCAGCTTCTCGCGCAAAAGCATCGAGAGGTGGGCCCCCATCTTGCGGGCATTCTCAAGCAAGTTCTCCTCGACGATAACCTTCTGTACAGCCAACGATGCCGCACACGCGAGTGGATGCGCCTGTAAGTTATCGCGGTTAGATGTGGCGATGTCGCCAGACCGCAGCCCGCACCTGATAGGTATGCCCGTGCTTCCAGAAACCAGATGTGTCCCGTATGCCATCCGCGACCTTCTTGGAGACCAGTACAGCACCAATAGATCCGTAGCTGTATGGTGCTCAGCATAGTTGGCAATCACAAAATGACCTGTGGGCCTACCCGCCGCCGAGGCCCTTGGCCACCGCTTGGATATCCGGGCTGATGTCGTCGGCAAAGGTCTCCCACGCGTGTAGACTCCCAAGCCCTAGGAATAGAAATTAGACACAGGGCGCAACAAATGAGTATGACGAAAGCTACTTACGACCCATGCCGCTCATGACCTCGTCGAGAATGAACAGCGCGCCGTACTTGTCGCAGACGGACTTTATTGCCTTGAAATAGCCATTCGGTGGCGGCACGACACCAGTCGTAGCGCCAACTACTGTTTCGGCGGCAACTGAGGGACAAGTCAGTGTCATAACCACAGTACGTCTATAGAAAGCATCGAGCAAATCGGCCTGGAATTTTTGCAGGCATAGTGTCCTTCCCGGACGAAAGACGCTGTCAGGTGGTGCCAGGACCCAAGGTGATCATAATTCTACAATCACACTCCCGGGATGAGATCGTGGGGACGCGGCGCGAGCCTTATGAGAGCCAGGCCGGATAAAGCTTTACGGCCTCCTCATATGGCCACACAATCGTATCCCAAACAAGGTGCAGCAGCGATTTGGGGATCGTATGAAGTATGAGCTCACTCTACGAAACAAGTACTTACAGCCAATGACAGTGTCAGGTCCAAGCTCCTGGAATTTGTCGTCAAGTTCTTGCCTAAGTCGCTCGACGTATTGCTCCTCAGTCTCGTCAGGCCTCTGGAACCGTTTTGCATATGCAGGGGAGACGTGATGAAAGTTCTCATGGTCTAGAATCGCCTCGTACGGCGCTCGGCGTCCCACATGCGATGCCAGGGAGAGTGTTCCAAGCGTGTTGCCGTGGAAGGATAAATGGCGAGCTATGAAATTTTTGCGCTGGGGCTGCTTCTTCTCAACGAAATACTGGCGAGACAGCTTTAACACGGCCTCCATGGCTTCCGACCCTCCGGAGACAATGCCGACGAGCTCAAAGGCGCCATTTGAAGAGCTGACGATGTACCTGGCAAGCTCCTCCGCAGGTTGGTTCGACAACTGCATGCTGTATACATCTAATAATCATTGATTCAATACCATATCGAATGTGCGGAAATACTCGACGTACAAGAGACCTTGTCGACCTGATCTTTAATCGCTTGAACGACCTTGGGATGCCCGTTGCCGATGCATGTAACGGCAGCACCACCAACGGCATCAAGCAATCGCTGACCGTTCTCCAAGGTCACATAGGATCCGTCTGCGGATTGTGCGACTGGGAGCCTCCAGGGCGTACGATGAAGAATGGAGGTTGGCTTCCGCGCTGCCTGCGCGGTAAGAGATTCGGGGCGTTCGACACTGAGGAGTGCTGGGGCCATAGCGGGGAACTTCGCGGGGAACTTCGCGAAGGGACTCCATGAGAAGGTGAAACCTTTATACGAATGGTTATCTCCAACGTCTCATGTTTGGACGATACAGACTACATGCGCAGGACATGACTCGGAATTGAGTGCGTCACGGCTGGTCTCGCCCACCAGGCGCCCAAGATCCCTTGGGTTATTGTAAGCGCCCATAGAATCACCTGGCCTGGCAGCACGTTCACTAACAAATGAGGTGCTAGGAAGCTCATGCGGAGGAATTTCACAATTTTCTCTCTATGTCATTCACCGTCGAGACCCTGGTCCGCAGCGTTGAAGGGTCATGCGCGAAGGCTAGCGTTTTCTCCGAGTACAACGCCCGTACTACGACGTAGCCAGCGCATTCGGGTCCTCACTAGAGGAGTTGGCTTCGTTACTTTCAAATGCGAGCCTTGGACCGTGATGTGTAAATCCACTCGCCGTGGCACTGAAGCCTGTGATACATCCCCGTTTCGGGTGGGCACTACACGAGCTGACGCATCCCAGGCGAAACCGTGACGATAGTTGATTTTGGCTCCGAAGGCGGTCTGGACACCTTCCTTGTGGCTGAGTAAGTTAGTCCAACAGGCAGATCTATCGGTATCGATATGATACATGCTGACTGGCTGTGCTTCTATTGTGCAAACTAATCTTGCCGATATCATGTCGAAGCGAATAATGCAGCCGTTCCGTTACTATCCTGCAATGCGAACGTCGTCGTCTCCAATTGCATAATTAACCTCAATATTACGCTCGTCTTTTGCGGAGTTCTCTGCCTTCTTGCGTCTGACGGGCGTATGTCTGTCTCAGATATTTTAGTGTTAAAGCCTTCATGACAAGATATCCGGACGACATACAACTCTATGGATGCATTGGCGAAGCAAACACGGTAGAAAGTTATAAACGATGGCTGAATGAGTTACGACATGATTCCTGGGTGAGTCATCATCTGTCCCGTTTCGCCTTTTTCTGATACTACATGACCAGATGTCATGATCCTGATCACCGACAAGGATCTGAACGTCTACGAGGATGAGATACTTCGACTCGGAGTCACTCCAGATAAGTCGAATGGAAAAAATTGTGTCCTGGACGCAGACTCAGGTATTTTCCAATGAGCAAGACTGGCATGACTTATCTCGGCGTCTGTTATTCAATAGCACACTAGTACTCGGAATCACCAGCGACATAATCCGGTTGCTTGTCCCAAAATGTATCTATTAGAAGCCGCTGTGCTGCAGGTTTGCTGGGAAATATCACCAACACTGGCTCAGATAGGATGGGGCTTGTTGTGTCGCGAGGAGTGGGTTTCACCGACTTCGTTGGCTAATCTCATATTTACGCCAATGAGCGCGACTCGGCGGTTAAGATTTGCGCTTGTTTGTTCCCCACTGACGCTTCTTATCATTTTGGCGCTTGGCAATTTCGCACTACTTGCATCATATATCTTCTCTTTGCCTCCTTTTCCTGCTCTATGGCTAGACGCAAGAGACAACTTCTTGAGGACGATGATTCCGACTCTTCTGCTGGCGAAGATAACGACATTGGCGATTCAAACTACGACACCAACGACCCCGACGCGCGTGCTGAGCGCGAGCTCTTTGAGAACCCCTACGGGCACAAGCGGAGGCGAGGGGACGGAAAGGAGGACGCGATCTATGGTGTGTTTGCCGAAGACGATGAAGACAAGGATTACAGGATGAAGCGCGGCGGCAGGACGACGAAGAGGAAGGAGGCACCTGCTTTCACGGCGGGAGCGAAGGTTGACTTGGATAAAGATATCGACGTGGATGTGACGATGAAGGAAGCTGAAGATTCGTCAGGCAGCGATAGTGAGACGAATAATGAAGACGAGGAGATTGCGGATGCTGTAGAGGGTGCGGAGGATGATACCATGTCCGAACTGTCGAAGGATCCCTCGCCTGCTGTCCAAGAGGAAAGAGAAGAAGGACTTCGCTTCGGTGGCCTTGGGCTTGGGAGTTCAAGAGGTGGACTTGGCCTGGGTGCCTCTAAGGGCGGTATTGGGTCCTCCAAAGGTGGCATTGGCTCTGGCAAGAGCAATGCCGCCTTCGCGTTTTCCGGCTTTAGCAAAGACGGTAGCACGTTCAACTTGTCCTCGGTCACGGAAACACCTACCTCTGCGTCTCCATCTCCAGCAGCGGCTGCTGAATCTGAGGCAGAGCGTGCAACACCCGAGACGCTCGACATGCCCACCTCGTTCGGCAGGCAGTCTCGTCCCCAGAGGGCGTTCGTGCGCGATGGGTCTACGGGAAGCGGCTCTAGCACTCCAAAACCAGCGAGCCTCAGTGCACAGGAACGCGCCCACTTTGGCAAGATATCCGGTACCTTCGGTGCTCGTATGCTGGAGAAGATGGGTTGGCAGTCTGGCACGGGCTTGGGCGCCACGGGAGAGGGTATGGTTATTCCGGTCGAGAGCAAACTGCGTCCGAAGAGTATGGGCCTGGCGTTCAAGGGTTTCAAGGAGAAGACGGAGCAGTCGAAAGCCGAGGCAAGACGCAGGGGTGAAGCCGTCAGCGGGGACGAGGAGGAAGCTCGACCAAGGAAGGGCAGGAAGCCGAAGGCCGGGCAGCAGGAGCGTTCGGACGCATGGAAGAAATCGAGGAAGACGAAGAAGAAGATTGAGCACAAGACGTACGAACAGATCGTCGCAGAGGCCAGTCATGAGGCCCCCGCCGCAGGCATCGGCCAAATAATCGATGCTACTGGTGCGACAGTAAGCATCGAGCGTATTCGACGCCACAAACCTAACATACTGACTATGGTATATCTTAGCCTCGAGAGGTCTCATCTCTTGCTGATGTCTCTGTGGCGTCTTGGACGCCTACCACCGACCCAATGCGCCTGCCTGAGATTCGCCACAACTTGCGCTTAATTACTGAAGCATGCAGAGGAGACCTGGAAGGTCTTGCCCGTGAAGCTCGCGCCTTGGGAGAACGCAAGAGATGGGTGCAACAGGAGGACGAACGGCTACGGAAGAGAGTCGAGGAGGAAGCTCAACGTAAGTCTCCCGGGAAGATTTGTCTATGATTGGCGTAATGATGCATCTGTCGCATAGTCATTGCCAGACTACAACAAGTACACTTGGTAGTGGACGACATCGAATCTCAGGCCAAGGAAATGAAGTCATCTTATGAGGTCTCCCTGGAGCCATTCTCAGCCAACTTTGAGAAGCTCATCGGGTTATACCCTAATGAATTTGACCGTTACCATCTGGATGAGATTGTAGTTGCAGCTATTGCACCGATCGTACGTAACTTACGCCCCCCCCTATGCGCCCGACTGACGCTGAATATTTTATGCAGATTCGGCGCATGTTGACTCAGTGGCAGCCGTTGGAAGATTCACAAGCCTTTGTATCTGACCTCCGAGCGTGGCGCAAGGCTCTCATGATGTCTGAACCTGAGGAGACTGCAACAGTCCAGCAAGTACAAGTGTACGGTTCGAGTACGGTCGTTTCTTCCTCAGCAGTGTAAGTGGCTTTATTCCTTGTTGATTTACATGCTGACACCCAAAACGTAGTGAAAAGCCCATGACGCCGTATGAAAGCCTCATTTGGAATGCTTGGTTACCGAAGGTGCGGTCAACCATAAATAATGATTGGTCTCCAGACGATCCTCAACCTGCTGTGCGGCTCTATGAAGCATGGTCGAAGTATCTGCCACCTTTTGTCCGTGATAATTTCTTCGATCAGCTCGTTCTACCGAAGGTCCACAAGGCCGTCAGCGACTGGAGCCCGAAGAGACACAAAGCCCCGCTACGGACCTTAGTCTTCCCATGGTTGCCTCATATCGGTCTTCGATTGGAAGACTTACTCGGAGACGCTCGTAGGAAAGTCAAGAGTACCCTGCGAAGCTGGGCTGTCGCCGACGGTATGCCTGAAGATCTCGAAGCTTGGAAAGGAGTAAGTAGAATGCGAAGTTGCTGGTAGTCTGCGACTCACTTTCCGATCTCCCAGGTATTCGACGTCGGCGACTGGGATAGCATGCTCCTCAAATACATTGTTCCTAAGCTCGGTGCTCGCCTCCGGGACGACTTCAGAGTCAACCCGCGGCAGCAGCAGATGGAACCTCTACAGGACGTGCTTCTCTGGGAACGCCTTCTTCGCCCATCTATTCTTTCTCAACTGCTTGTGAGCGAGTTCTTTCCCAAGTGGCTAGACGTTCTCCACCTGTGGCTCGTTTCGCCAAGCCCTAGCTTCGAGGAAGTCGCGCAGTGGTATTCGTTCTGGAAGGAGACGTTTACGGAGAATGTCCAAAGCATGCCGGGTGTTGCACAAGGGTTTACCCGTGGCCTGCAACTCATGAACAAAGCCATCGAGCTCGGCCCAAACGCTGCCATGCAGCTACCACGTCCGGATCATCGTGCACCTCCCCCTGCTTCATCAAAGGCTCCCGCGCGGCAGGCTACACCCAAGCCTCGTCCTTCCCGTACGCAAGAAATTACCTTCAGGAGCATTGTGGAGGAATACGCGTCCTCACACAATCTGCTCTTCATACCCACCGGCCGCGCTCACGAGAAGTCCCGTATGCCTCTCTTCCGCGTCTCGCAGACCGCAGATGGCAAGGGTGGATTGCTGGTGTATATTCTGGATGACGCTGTCTGGGCTCCAGATGGGGACGAGTATCGCGCGATCTCGTTGGAGAGTATGGTTCTTCGCGCGACCAAGGAATAGTCTGATGCCTATGTATCCATAGTACTATAATACCGCGCACTTGCACGATTTACTAATGAGCAAAGGGCGCCTATGCAGGCGGCGGTTAACGTGATAAATATCCAAATTTGGAATTTTGATCAAACTTTTGATTTGCCGCCCTGGTCGCAAGAGGAGCCAGCGCCGCCGCCAACGTCAAGCCCGCAAGAACACCAAGATGGTCAGTACGCCCAGACATCTCGAAATGTCGCTAGGGAGGTCTACGTCTGAGTTTACGCCGAGAGAGAATGAGGATTTGGATGGTCGTCAGAGGTGGATGGCAGGGTGAAGGATTGGATGCACTCGGGCGGCGACCTCTAGGCTACGCTTCACATACCTCTGAATCTTCGCTGACCTAGCTTGTTATGCGTCTTATATAGGCCCGAGGACCGAAAAAGCATTTGAAGCGCCTCGCCGCTCCTTCGTCATGGATGCTCGACAAGTTGGACGGTACTTATGTATGTTCGCCAACATCTTTGGCTTCGGCATGGCGGGCTGAAATGTTCTGCACAATTTAGGCTCCCCGCCCTTCACCCGGTCCCCACAAGCTCCGGGAGTCTCTCCCTCTCACTGTCTTCCTCCGTAACAGGCTGAAGTATGCTCTGACTGCCAAGGAGGTCCTCTCCATTGTCATGCAGCGCCTGGTCAAGGTTGATAACAAGGTCAGGACCGACCCCACTTACCCAGCTGGCTTCCAGGGTGTGTAAACCTCGAACATTAGAAATGGAGGTGATCTTAGTTGCTGATTCCGCGATAATTAGATGTCATCTCCCTCGAGAAGTCCGGCGAGCACTTTCGTCTTCTCTACGACGTCAAGGGCCGCTTTACTGTCCACCGTATCACCCCCGAGGAGGCTACCTACAAGCTTCTGAAGGTCAAGAAGATTGGTATTGGTGCTAAGGGCGTCCCATACATTATCACCCACGACGGCCGCACTATCCGTTACCCTGACCCTCTGATCAAGGTCAACGACACCGTCAAGTTCGAGTTCGAGACTGGCAAGATCACCGATTTCGTCAAGTTCGACACTGGTAACATTGTCATGGTCACTGGTGGTCGTAACATGGGCCGTGCTGGTGTCATCGTCCACCGTGAGAAGCACATTGGTGGCTACGACATTGTCCACATCAAGGACTCTCTTGACCGCACCTTCGCTACACGGTGTGTTCGATTTCCCTCTGTTTCCGGAAAGTAGATGGTTAAATCAAATTCAGAATCTCGAACGTCTTCGTCATTGGTGAGGGCATCAAGCCTTGGATCTCCCTTCCCCGGGGCAAGGGTACCAAACTCACCATCACCGAAGAGCGGGACGTGCGCAGGAGACAACGAGCTGCCGAGCAGTAGGCGGGTTGTATTATTCTTTTCCCATTCGTACTGCTTTCCACTGCATTATGTCATGTTATGTGTGCTCTTCCACGACGCCGAAAACTGCAATATGCATGATGTCCTCGGGCTGGTGCTCTTCATATTGTGTGCGAAGTATGCTTAGTTTTTGGTGAGTTCCAGCTTGTGCTCGCGTGCGTTTGGACTCGATAATGGCATCTCGAAGTTCTGGACTGTACAGACGCGGCAAGGTGAAAAACAAGTAGTTTCACATCGTCTGCACGCGGCCGTCGAATAGATTGTTCAGGTGCAGTGACTGCGATACAGCATATGCTCTGAAAAAGCGGAGGCTGGTCGCACAAGTGTTAGAATGGCGGAGCTAGCCGTAGTACGGTCGGCCAAGCACCGGTCGAGCTCGATGTGAGCATCATATCGTGTGGATGCATATGGTGATCAAACGCGACCATAGCAGCATGACCATGCTGACGTATATCATGTGATCGTTTTCTATGTGAAGACGCGGAGAACATGTCAGTAGTCCGTACTGAGTATTTCGGGAACGGTGCGCCCTGCTGGAGGCTTTGAGATGGGGGCTGAGCCACAAAGTGAACACATCCAAAATTGATGTCATTGGTATGATTTTGTTGGTGTGATTTCGAAGCCACCGAAGGACTTGCTCCTTGAACTCGCTGGACATTTTGAGGCCGTGAGCATTGTGGCGCATCAATAGTGTACTGACAACGGCGATCAATGAACTCTTAACCCGAGGCAGAGCTGACTGAACCCTAACCCTAATTAGCACAGGTACAGTGCAATTAATGATGGGCGTTTGTCAATATTGGTCATCTCCCCCACTCCCAATTGGCGGCAGAGATGCGCAGCTGCCCTCGCTTTCGTCCACTCGGATGTCGTCCAGATACGCAGCCTCCGACTACGATTCCGCAGAAACTCGTCCAGACAAACCACTGGTTGTCAAGTGCAATTATGAAGGGTTAAATAAGCGCATAACGTTCAGTTCAAGCCGAACATGCACCTTCGACCTCCTGAAACATCGAGTGCGTATCCTTCGATGCTTTGCCGTTGGGGATTACTCATATTCTGCAGGTGGAACAATGTTTTTCTCTATCTCAGACCTCTTACGCGATAGCATACACCGACGACGACGGCGAAACGACGGTTATTACCACGGAGGGGGACCTCACTGAAGCAATCCGCTACTTCTATCCTGGCGGAGCCGACGATCCCCCACTCTCCTCCACCGCTTCGATCCTGTCGGGGCGCAGTTTTGGTCGCGGAAAGATCACTCTACGTGTCAAGATAACGATCGACTACGACGGGCCGAGTCTGTCTGACACTTCTTCACTGGCGAGTACCGACGAGTATCAGAACCGCAACGATGACAGCTTTTCCCTGTCCCTGTCTACTTCCTCTGCTGGGTCTTTTGGTTTGGAACCGGATGATGATGCGAGGACTGTGAGCTCAAAGGACACCGGCGCACGTCCACGGTCGAAGTACAGTTTCTTCCGGTCTCGTGGTACGAAAACGGTAGTGCCTGGGGCTTGCAAGACGTCGCGTCCAGTTACGAACGACGAGTGGGAAGAGGAAACAGTTTCAAGTGTTCCGAAGACATTATCCCTCAGTGGTGGAGGCGGAGGAAGTGTACTACCTTCCATCGAGGACAATGACGAGGATGCCGTGTTCGAAAGGCTCAGGGAGCAGGAGGCAGAGAACAACGAGGATCCGCAGTCTTCGAGCTACGGAAGCACCGCTTTGCAGAACGAGCGTGGTGTTGCATGGCTGCGGGAGCAGAATGAGCGGACCATACAACTTATCCGGCCTGTGGAGGGGACGCGCAGCTCGTCACAAGTCGACCATATGGACCAGTTATCGGTACCAGACACGCTCTCCATTCCCGAAGACGATGTTGGCTCTACCATGAGCGGAGAGCTTGCGCTGGAAAAGGGCAATGATGGACGCTTCTACTATGCATATACATCTGGCTCGTCAGTGTCCGCTCCTCCTAGCGTTGACTCTGGATTTGATGATGACTCAAGCGTGGTATATGATGCTGACAGAGCTGAAACATCGGATATGCGACCGCCTTCCAGGGACGGGTCGTGGCAAGACAGCAATTCCAGGCCTTCGTCATCTAGCCGCCATTCCCCAAACCATCGCTCTTACTCAGAACCCATCTTGACGCGCGAAGAGCTTCCTCCTGATATCCCTGCGGAACTCCTGCCATTCATTACTCAACCTCCGCCGCCCCCGGCAGATCCAACCGACTGCTCGAGCTGCGGTGCCTTGCTGGAGCAGCTGCGCTATGTCTGCGCAACATGTGGCGAGAAGGAGCCAGCTAGCAGGACGCGGTTTAACGGGATCGAGATCAATGGAAAAGGCAAGGGACGGGATGCAGAATACTTTGGCGCGTCGACTACCACTTTTATGTATCCTCCACATGCGCAACGGACGATGGAGAATTCTCCATCGGTCTCTTCTTGGACTCTTGTGGCAGAAAACAACGGTCCATACGACGACAGCAGGAGCACGCTCATCAAACACAAGCCACTACCGGCTCTGCCGTCTTCCCCGTCCTCTTCCCCGTCCAGCTTGACTATCCCAAGTCTTGGACTCCGCTCTGGGAGTACCTCGTCGTCGTCATTATCTTCTCGCGGGCCAGGCTTCGAGCTATGCTTCAACTGTATTGCGACAGTGGGCATTGTTCATGCGCTCGAGGCGTCGATAGACCCAGGTTCGTCGCCTCTTCATGTCTCGCCCGAAGAAAGCCAGCGCACGTTCTCGGAGTGGAGGCGGACCGCGTCACGTAAGGGTCACTTGCGGCACGCGTATATCGAGAAGGTCTGGGGTCCGCGAGGCTGGGACAACGTCGGTACGTCTTATCTCTTGGCATGGCTGCCTGCGCGGCTCGCTCATGCAAGCATTCTAGAACACGACGATCGAACGACAGTCAAATGCTCGACGTGTCCTTCCATCATCGTTGGCAAGCGTTACAAGTGCGCCGTGTGTGAAAATTTTAGCTTGTGTAAAGCATGCTATAGGTAAGTTCACGGGGTCCTCCACGAGGCCCTCTGCGCAGTAAGGACCTGTCGCTAACTGGTTTGATCGCAGTCAAGTACATGAGATACATCCCTCGGACCCTTTCCTGGTCATCCTCGAGAAACCAATGCGCACCCGCAGTGAGCCTGTCATCGAACACCCTACTCTCACTCCAGATGAGACTGGGGAGCTGTGTAAGCACCTGGTTGTTGATTTGTTAGTGTCACAGTTTAACTTGGTCCTTCATAGCCATGACCCATGCAGGCGTAAAATGCGCACAGTAAGTAGATGTTCGTGCTTGCAAGTCTGGAATCTATCTAATAGTGCGATGCAGTTGTCTCATGGAAATTGTCGGCGCGCGGTTCCACTGTGCAATATGCCCTTCGATTGATATTTGCTCGAATTGCGAATCTGCTGGGCTGCCAGGGAACTTGGATTCTTCGGACGATGGCCATAACTCCTCACACATCATGATCAAGGTTGGTATGCGTGTCTAGCCCGCCAGCGCCGCACTAATTATCTACAGATTCCCTACCCACTGCCGATGCAAGAGCTCGAGATCGCCAGTCGACGAGCGAAACAGCTGTGGGGCAGGGATGCGGCGACGATAGACGAGGAGGCAAGACGATCCAGGCGTGGCTCTCTCGGTTCTGGGTATGCACGCACTGTTATTGGGCCGTCTGTGGCTCCCGTGGAGACCACAGGCGAAGGTGAGAGCCACGACATCCGATGCGATGTGTGCCGAAAGGTACGGCAGGCGTTGTAGAGCGGCATATGGAACTCAAACACCCACTTAGATGATTCTTGGCGTGCGGTACCAATGTGCGATGTGTCCCTCTACGCCGCAGGGTTATAACCTGGTATGTAATCTACTCGTAATTCTAGTTTCAAGATAGCTGATCGGTCTTGAACTCGACAGTGTACAGAGTGTGATGCTCGGTCGTACGCGGTACACGATCCTATGCACGTTTTCTTCAAGCTCCCACGCCCGCTGGACATTCCGATCGATGTTGATGGGCCACTGCTCCCGATACTGTACGCTGTCGAGTATTGCAGTTTCTATAACACGGCTAATTCCCTCCGCAGTTACCGCGTGCCGGCAGGTCCACCAGGGGGCATCCTCGTCAGAGAGCGTCCGAAAGGTTCGTCAACTTACTTTCGGTGTAACCTAGGATGCTAACTTTCTATCTTTCAGAATACCTTCGCGATGTCCGGCACACATCTGCTGTATGCGATCGGTGTATGGAGCGCATAAGTGGCGAATGGTTCCGTTGCGTATACTGTGGTAAAGATCTTTGCGACAACTGCGAAGCTGTCGACACGCACGACTATAAGCACTTCTTTATGGTGTTCAAATCGACGGTCAGTTGCATTTCTCATCCTCGATACGCATCTCGCGCACTCACCTCGGTCGTTCTCGCCATAGGTCGATATGCAGCGCTTTAGGTCGGTCATCGTGCCGCCATGGTCAAAGGGCACCATAAGCTGACATCATTTATACAGACGCTTTGCACAGCTCGACAACCAAGAGAACCCTCCGCCCGTCCTTCCGTTTGCCGTCTACACCTCATAATGCCTCTGAAGGCTTGGATAATACTACTACATGTCTCCTCATGCTGGTCTTGGGTATCATAGTTTATGTGCACAGATGATTCACATTGTATTAATCTCATTTTTGTTTTCGTCGGTAATCTGCACGGAAAGCCCGTACCTGTGGGCATGACACAAGGTTGCGGTGCTCGCTGCTACAGTGGCAACGCGGGTTTAGCGCCCAATTACAGCTTCCCTTTAACCAGGACCATCGGCCGTTGCTACCAACTTTCATTCACGCTCTTTCTCTTTCTGATGACCACACTTTACGACGACGACGTCTTCTCATCTCCCAGCTCACGACTCCACAAGAAAGGTCCACAGCGCAAGGCTTTGAATGGCCGGAAGTCACCATCAGGATCCGTGCGTGGCTCGAGTCTCGCGCAAAGTCTCGACGGCGAAGCGAGCAATGGTGTAAGCTCTCTTGCGTACGAGCTCGCGACGGCGTTGGCGGGGGAGGGAGGGCCAGGTGGCTCGCGGGAACTGGCGGAGGAGCTGGGATTGGAGTACGATGAAGGTGCAGAAGGCATAGACCAATCCGCGTCTGCGCCAACGGACGAGCCGGACGGGTTGCCCGCGACACTAGACACGCTAGAGGATGCGTTCGGTGGCATGCCGCACGAACCATCGTCAGAGCCGTCGTCGCACGACGCGGACCATGAGCCCTCAGCAGATCTCGATCCTGCGTTCGAGTCACCGACAAAGCCTCAGCGGCAGGCGCGAATGCCCGAGCAGGACCCCATGACGACATTCGCGGAGGATCTCGAGTCGACGGAGCGGTTCCTGACGCAGCTGCGTCGGCTGGATGTCGAACCTGGTGGACAGCCTGTCCTCGAGGGCTTTGCCTCGGACGTCATCAGGCGATTGGACGATACGGCGCGCGAACGCGAAGGGCAAGTGCGCGAGCTGCTCGAGTACGAACGCGAGTTCAGGCGGATAGCGGGCGAGGTTGGGGGTAACGATGCACTTGGCCAGCTAGACGAGCTCGATAACCTCATAGAAGAGCCGAAACCGCAAGAGCGGGTCGAGCCACAAGATCTCCGTCGCAACTCGTTAGACGCAATACAAGAAGAGCCGATGCAGGCGAGCACCTCTGATTGGGAGGCAGAGCTTGATAGAGATAGAGCACGGCTCGAAGATGAAGTAGACGAATTCGACCCGCCGCCAGATCCCAAAACGATACCTCCTCCCCCTCCATTGTCCGGCCCGCCAACTCCAGCAGTCACCACGGTCCAACTGGCACACTTCCGCACCGTTACGGCGACCGTCGCTACCTCGCTTGTGACTATCTCAGAACAAACACAAGTGAATACCGCAGCAGCGACTGAAGCCGGTAGGAAGATCCGCGCGCTGAAGAATAAGCTGGGCGAGTGGCGATCAGATTGGGAGGGCGCAGAGCGAAGTCGGGTGAGGATTGAGCGGTGGGAAGCAGGCATGGTAGAATCCGGGGACGGGGCCCTGGTCGTGCTGTCTCCACCAGGGACCCCGACGCGGAGCAGCCGTGCACGGGCGGACGGCCGGAAAATCGTGCAAGCCCACCTGGACGCTTTCGCACAGACACTGTCGGATGCGACGGTGCGGGTGCAAACGATCATGGCAGCTGTACCATAAAGGCGCAGCTGTGTGTAAGATGCCACGTGTGTACACCAGGTAGCGTGCCCGCTGGTTGTTGGATTTTTATCTCGTATTTCGTTCGTATCTTGTTTCTTTTGGTGTCCCATGCTTTCGCGCACACATCACAGAGTCTAGGAATCGCCATCTCACCACCCCTGCGCGATGCACCACGAGCCATCGTCTCAGCGCTGTACTCTACATAATCCGCCACTCACCGGCTATCTATAGAGCGTCGTGTCTATCTCCTTGTCATACCCTCATATTCTCAATCACTATCGACACTTACATCAGTCTTGACCGAAGACGAATGTTGGCATTATACATTGCATTCTCATTGTACAGCATTTTATTCTTTCCAGAGCATGTTCAGCCCGTGTACTTGAACCAGCTCGTTCTGAGACACAATGATTAAGTGAAAGGGCGACCTGAAGAGTGGAAGACAAATAACACACCTAGCTTCAACCGCTTCCTTGCGAACGCCTCGCTTCGGGTCGTCCAATGCTTTCGCCAACTCGCGGAGGACAGTCGCTTTCTGAGGATGTAGGACATCATACTTAACGAGGCTGGGCATAACAGCCAGATAACGCAACGCCGCCATGCGTACAGGCTGAGAGTACACACTAAATCAGTACTGTACCACAACTCAACTCAAGGAAGAGGACATACGACCGAGGGCATCTGCTGCACCATGCTGTTCTTGAGCAACGTGGCGACGAGGCTCGACGCATGTTCCGCGACAATGCTATTGCTCGTCGCCGACGCCGAGTCGGCGACCGCGAGGAGCGTGTTGATCGCGTTCGCGCGCATCTCGGCGTCGGGCAGGTCGAGGCCGCGCAGGAGAAGCGGCATCAACTAGGTGAGCATGGCGTCAGTTGAGACAACTGGCACTATGGCAAAGGAGACGCACTGAGGGCAGCTCGTGCAGGTATGTCGTTTTTGGGATCGACTTGATCAGCGAAGTTAACGCCACGAGGTACGCGTTCTGCCTGCGAGAGTCTGAGAGATGCCACAGTGCCCGGGACAATGTTCAGTAAAGAGGTACGAGGAAGTGGGTTGTCGAATACTCACCAGATGTCGTCTTTGCGCCTTCGATAATGCGAGGGAGCATGGCATTCGCGAATTTCTGTGTATACAGGAACTGGAGGACGACGTTAGTGCTTGCTTCTCATGCACTTCGCGAGCTTGGAGAACCTTTATTACGGTGTGGTTCTTCTTACTCAGGGTCTTGTCTGTGCTAACGACCTGGCCGATGGCCCGCGCAGCGTCCCAGCCGATGTCGTCGTCGTCGAACAACACTACGAGGTGGTCGGTGAAGTTTTGGGCGGAAGGATGCCCGCGGACTTGCAGCGCCTTGGTCATCTTGACACAGGGCGAGTTAACCTTTTGCATATGTGAATATATAAATATAATAAATCGTACCCATGTCCATGCAGAGACAATGCGCCTGCGAATCGGCAGAGCCAGATTGACATCCTTCGCCCGTGCCAACCAATTGCTCTCCAGTTTCTGCGAAAGGAACACCTCGAAACCTGTCACCACAAAATGAGCAATTCCGTTATCGAGGGCACGCGATTGTATCACCTTCGACCCTCTTGTTGAGCACAGCCGCAACTGCGCGCTCGCCAGCATCGCTCTGGATCTTGTTATCGGCGTCGAAGATGCTCCATTGCAAGAGCTTATCGACGAAGGCGCTCTCGTCAGGCACAGGAAGAGCAACTCCTTTGTGAAGAGACACTATAGCAGCCGAGAAGAGGAGGACGAGATTCTTCTGCAGGCTCACCGCGTCCGACTGCATGTATTCATTCAGTGAAAATGCGACCGCGATGGCGAAACGAAGGACATACTGCAAATGGCGAGAACGGCCGGCCCTCTGGAATTTTGTGCTGCCCTTCCGCGATGCCCTGCAGCTGCCCGTCCATGTAAGCTGCGAACAGCGCCTTAGAAAACTGTTCCTGCTTCCTGCACACCATAAATACGCAAATCAAACGACCAAGAAGGGACTAAGCGTACTGAACAGGCGCAGTCTGCAACACGAGCGAGACGATCTCAGACGACACTGAGACGAGCCTCGGATCGGTGGCCACGAGGTAGTCCCCGTCCGAGACGAGCGCAGAGTATACGTGCAAGTTGAACAGGCGTGGCAGCAGACGCTCGACGTACTTCTGCATGTCCGTGTCGCCGCGCTGCGCCTTGATCGTGAGCACGTCCGCGAGCGTGCGGAGGAGCGAGTGCGCGTACGCCGCAGCAGGCTCCGCCTCCTCCGCCTCTGCTCCCTCGCCCGTAGGCCCGGCGCGCGAGTCGCAGACAAGATCGAGCTTCGTCGTGAGGCGCACGACGAGCGTCTCGAAGAGGTCGCTCTGTACGCAGAGTCGCTTGAGGAACGCGAGCGTCGTCCAGTATGCTAGGCGCGCCGCCTCGGCTGTGCGCGCCGGCGCCGTGTCTGGGAGGGCCGCGAAGAGCAGCGGGAGCGTCGTCTGCGAGATGTGCCGCGGCGTGCTTGCGGAGACGGCGGTCAGCAGCTCAAGAATCTTGTCGCTGGAGATAGACATTGGGTTTAAGAACAGTACATGGATACCGAACTGCGCACCTGATATCATCGCTTATCTCGGTGACGTCCTTCGCGAAGAGCTCGTTAACGTTGTGAACGACGAACCCGCGCTCCTCGTCTGCGAGCAGGCCTGGCGTGGTCGCTGCGCCCCGCAAGCCATCGAGGGCGTGAACACAGGCCGAAGAGTTCTTCAGACCGACCGTGAGCACGCCAAGCACTTCGTCCTTGTACGGCGTGAACGCCGCCTGCTCGCCTTCCTGCGCAAACTGGCGCGCTGCGTCGATTAGGTCGGAGAGCAGGCGCACGGTTGGCGCACGGTTCTGGACTTCGTCGGGGTCCAGGAAAAGCTTGACGAGGTGAGGGACAGCCTGGCTGAGGGTGAACCTTGAAACAGAGGCTACGGCATGGTAGTATTAGTTTATGATGTGGAGGGCTATCAGGCTGTGCGTACGGGTCGTGGAAATAAAGGCGCAGAGTACCTTCATGGCCGGCTTTGCCTGGCTTTTCTCTGGCTCCTTGAGAATGCGAATACATTCTTCACACGCGTCGCGCGCGAGACCTTGGATCTCCTCGTCTTCAGTCGCCTTGGCTCCTACCCCGCTATATATAGTCTGTATCAACACTTGTACTGTATGCAGAGCCGCTGTCTCTGTTTCAATGTCAGTAGGTTGAAAAATCTGATCAAGCAATTTTATTTAAGCTTCCTTTCTTCGCCGCACAGCAAACATTTCACACGTACTTCGAGCTTTAAAGTGTTCCAGAGCTTCCGCGCATTCTCTCGAGCGACGAATGCGCCATACACAGGAAGACAGGCATCCAGAGTTTGTAGCGTGTCTCGCTGTAGGGTTTCTCAGACTTCAATTTTGCAGATACCTGAGTTGGTCACAGACCTTTGTTGTAGGCGATCCGGCGGTAAGCTTCTCCAGGAAAAGGGGGATAGCAAGAGGTCCAAATTCGGGGGTAGCATTGAGACACTCTCTGTGGTCCAATTAATAGATGTTAACGATCAGGAGTATGATGACTCGCCTAAGTGCTTTCTTCAGGTCGTCTGAGGTTATACTATATGGATCGTCCGGTGGAGGTCTGAAGGTAATTGGGAAGTAGCAGAAGGTAATGTTGAAGAGCGCCTATTGACACGTAAGGTCCTGGTCTTCCGAAGAGACAGCCGTCATACCTCAATATGCTGCTTGATGTCAAACTCGATAACTAGGACACGGGCGATGGCGAAGGCAACTAGCAGGTTTCGCGGGTCTTTTTCACCCTCTGCGAGGCCAACGTATCCATCCAGGAATTCGGCTCCCAGCTTTTTCAGCGCTGTACAACATTTAGCTTCCGGAAATGAGATATATCGCATACAAACCTTCTCTGTGTTTAGCAACTAGCGAATCGATGATTGTGTACACCGTAAACCTCTGGGACTGACCCAACACCCGCATCTTGACATGGGCGAACATGCTAGTGGTACCAATTAGCGAGCTTCGTCTAGAAGAATAACTGTCTATTTACGATTCCACCACATCGACCGCATCTGAGGATGTAAACGCAGGCTGGGTAACGAGAGACATCAAGCCTTTCAGGGCTGGGACGATCGTCTCGGTATCCTCTAGCTTTGAGCACATAAAGTGCACGAGGACCTTGACTGGGCACAACCTGTTAGATGGTCCTGGTTCCTGCTTTGTGTACGATCCTCACCGGACTGACGGTTCATCCTGTTCGTCGGACATTGTGCAGTCACCTGAGACAAGAATTCGACACCTGAGGGAGCCGTGAGCAACCTGCAGATAAGATCCTGCGAGCATCGTTACCTTTACTACGTAGTTCGCCCTCCTCTGCCGTGAGATACTCGCCCAATGCTTTGACAAGTTCCAGGAGCGAGGTATTCCCTGCAGAGATCACTAAGGCAAGCTTTCGTACTTGAGACACGTTGATGGGAGAATGTGGCTGAGACGCGCACCTGAGACGGTTTCTTGGACCTCCTCTGGTCTACCAGAGGCAACCCATGTGCGAACTAGACGTTCGACGCGCTCCATACTTTCCAGACTGACCTGCAGGTTGGAGTCAGAAATCGGCGCCAGTTCGGAATGAGCGATGGCGCCGGAAGAGGTACTAAAGAGGGAGTTCGCTCGTTTCCCCTCATTTCTTTCCCGCTCACTTTCCCTGGATTAATTTGATATAAAGAAATATTGTAGCGTCTGAGACTCAAGCGGAATATATATATATATATACCCGGATAAGAGTAGCGCGTTGTCCGATAGCTTCCGCTGGTCTTGTCACACATCAGTCACGCAGGCCATTCCGTGGACAAGCGCGAGAAAAAGATAAGATCCCAGACTTATGCTACTTGTTCAAGTTCATACATATATGTTGTGTTGGCTGGTGTTTAGTTCTTGCATCAGCCTGGTCACTACTATGATTCCCTGGTCATGCACATGGGCACAAGCTCAAACAGCCAAAGAAACAAAAATGTCATAGATATACTCTGTTAGAGTTGAAAACTCATGAACTAATGACAGCTACTTCAATGTGGATGAGCCCATTTTTAGCTGTGAGCCAATTTTAAATAGTCACATGGTGGATTGCATCATTGCTATTAGTTACTGACTAATTTTATCTTCAATCACAGATAATTACTCAGAAAATCACATGACTATATCAGTCAGCAGCTATTTTTGTCTTCAGTCTCAAATGACTCAGAAGATCACATGACTGCATCAGTCAGCACAAGGTGTTATGGGTTTAAAGCAGTGTTTGGGGTCTTGGCACACTTGTATATAAAGACACTCATCTGAACTTCAAGTTTTCAGATTTAACATCTTTTTGACTAGCTTCAGAATTTTTTCATACTTATAAACACACATTCTCCATACATTTGGCTATTAAAATAGGTGAGTACAAGTCTTATAGAAGCTTGTCACACTTTTCTATTTTTTCTTGCTGGGCTCATGACTATAATATGCAGGCTAGTGTGCTGTAAAGGCACTAGCTGTAGAATTATATCTGGGGCTCAAGGTCAAAGGTGCTGCCATTGCTGTAGAAAGTGGCAACTATGTAGCTGTGGTGCTATGAAAACCATGGCAGCTGCATGTTCTCAGCAATGATTTGATTAGCAAGCAATTATGCAATGTCAGCAATATAGCTGACATGCTAATTTATTAGTCTATTCTTTAATGATACACAGACACTTGCTGTTGCTTACAGCAACACTGTTGGAGAGTTTATGGCATATTCTCTTATAAACACCTTCTTCAAGAAGGACAACACAGATAAACAGGAGCTTCAGTGTGGAGAGTGCAGCTGAAGCTGTCCAGAAATTTGCCCACTCAGCACTAGCTGCACTGTAAAGTGGCACTCTAGTTCTTATTAATTTGAATGTACACATTGAACCTATACATTGCATGTTCCATTTGCCTTCTTGGTGATGCTAAAATGATTTTTATAGCAATTATCTGGTTCACATCTTGATCACCAGATAAAAATCCCAGATATCTGGTAATGTGTTCATGCTTTATAATTTATGAAATCTGAATATTTATAAAAGACCATATTTGATCATGATCTGGAAATTTATACAGTCATACTCTTTATATGAAACAATGCCAAGAATCACTTCAAGGTCCACAGTCCTTGCTAAAGACCACATGACATATAAGAAAGATCAACAACCAAGAAAATGTTTCTCAAACTCTGCTCAACCTGCTACTAGTCCATCATCCTTCAGTCACATCAAACCACACATACAAGGCCATGCATCAATGCCACTCTCTGACTTTATCAATTTCAAGATTCTCGAGCATGCCAAAGAGCTCATACCACTATTGGAAGCTGTACACACACGCTTCGCAGCAGTGTTCATGTGCTTGAACACAGATGCTGCAGATCAAGTTCCATGTGGAGATGCAGACAAGTGTTGGAAGATGTGGAATGAGTTTCAGGACCTGTATGAGGGTTTTGCATGGAGGGCTAAATATTGGAATTCAAAGCAGTGGCGCAACCTCAGAGGTGCATTGAAGCGCATGTATAAGGTCAAACTTATTGGTCTTGAAAGTAGATTACCAGAGATTTGTAAAGAACTGGCTGAAAAGCAGTTCTCTTTTCCTAGCTGATTAGCTCTAGAATCTCTGTCCACTGTGTCCAGATACTTCTTCTACACAAATATTGCTTTTGAAAGCAGTGTGTGCTATCATTTAGCTAAAGCTCCTACAGGAGAACTTGCTGAGAACACTCATAACTATGTGCAGGAACTTTCAAGACTTTGTACAAGTGGTTTGAAACTAAATGCCAGGTTGGTGCTAGAAAACAAAGCCTGAACCAGCTCTTGAGCACCTCTCCCTTGGTCTCTTCAGACACTGGGCCATGACACAGCTCAGTGGAGTTGGCATAGCTTGCATGCAGCAGTAGCAAAAGAAAGCAAAAGAGAGGCAAGAACTTGGCCAACAAGGGATCAAACAGGTCCCAGAGGCAAAAGAGGATGCATGGTAAGCTCAATTAACATCCTCCGAGTGTGTACAGGGTGCGGAGAGCAGACAGGGGTGCAAAAAGGGCAAGATAGTACCCAAACGGGCTATGGGCATGTTCTCGGTGGCGGTTGGGGGCATTTTCAAACGGCAAGCGGTCGATCCAGTTGTTGGGAAGTCCCGCTGGGTCACCGTGGCAGTGCACCAAGTGGGGGTGCGAGAGGAACCGCAGGGGCGACATCCCGCCCGTGTCGGCGCGCGCCCGACCGCCGCCTGGCAGCGCACGGTGACCGTGACGGCGCCACGAAAGATCGCGACGTGATAGTGACCACGTGACCTTCGACGCGCTTAGCCGAGGGTGACGCGACTGGCGCTTGGGATATCTGCAGGCGCCCGCTGTCCGTCAAGGAGAAGCGGTGAACGTACTGGTGCTTGTCTCCGGGAGGAGGATTTGACAGTTTACAATAAGCTGCCGCGGAGCAAATCCAACCACATGAGGACCGGTGTGGCTACGTCGGTTCCGTGACTTACCGTTACTAGTATCACAGCACGTGCAGAAGAAGTGTAAATTTGTACGAAACTAGTATTCGAGCAGAGTCACGAACTGCAGTTTCTTACGTACCGCTTTCAGACTACAGAGAGAGCCTCATCGAGCTTTCAGCCTCAAACTGGCCTCGCGAGGAGACGCGATGTTTGAAATGTATAATCTTCGGGTTTACTGACCTGGCCATCATATTGATAAGTTGGATTGAAGCGTGTCGTCTGGCGAAGGTAGCATCGGCATTCTCCGTGGTCCGCTGTTTCTCCTGTTGCAGAGCGTTATAGCGGTCGGAAAGACGATGTCCAACGAGCATCAGGAACTGGAAGCGGACGTCCTGGTTGGCTGCAGCGTCGGACGATCGTACTGACGGGTCTAAATATAGGACACCGCAGGAGCAGGAGGCGTGCAACCGAGCCTTTCTTCCGACGATTATCCAGTTGCGCTCATAGCCGAGTCTGCTGGGCCAATGACAGCCGCTGCTAAGTATAACCGGCAACGCTGCTGTTCCGACAGAGTGCGAGTTGCCGTGGGTATGCCATCTGCGCACGCCCATGACCTTCAGCAACGATCAATCCCCTCCCTCTGTCCATCTCTGCCATCCGACACATCCTCCAGAATTTCGGCAGTTCACCTCGCTTGATCTTCCCTGCTGGCATGTCTCGCTCACGGGGCCATGGATCTCTACTGCAGCACCAGCCTAATCACCCCTTCTTCTCCCCATCTTCGTTGTCAAAAGGCTGAAAATTGTCGGCCCAAAATCGCGAGCGCAAAGTCGTTGTTTATCCGCCGAACTCGTGCGCCGTCGTCGAAGGCCGTCATAGCGAGATGTCTGCGCCGCCAAGGTAGATGTACGGAGAATTGCTCGAGGTATAAAGGCCTTGCGTCGTCGACAGTGTCAAGTCAGAGCTACAGCAATCTCTTGCAAAGTATCTCCTTCAGAGTAACGCTCTCCCGGGTGAGTATCGATGTACTGGTACACATTCACTCTTCTGACTCAGTGCCTAGTAAAATGTTCCGCGCTTCGGTCCTCCTCGCTTTTTCCCTCGCCGCTATCGTGTACGGCCAGCAGGCCGGCACCCAGACGCCTGAGACCCACCCCTCGCTCAGTTCCCAGAAGTGCACGGCCAGCGGCGGCTGTGTGACCCAAGACACCTCCGTCGTGCTCGACGGCAACTGGCGCTGGCTCCACGACGTCACCGGCTATACCAACTGCTACACCGGCAACGAGTGGGATGCTACCCTCTGCCCCGACGGTACCACCTGCGCTCAGAACTGCGCCCTCGACGGTGCCGAGTACGAGACCACCTACGGTATCTCCTCCTCCGACGATTCCCTCACCCTCAAGTTCGTCACGGGCTCCAACGTCGGCTCTCGTGTCTACCTCATGAGCAGCGAAACCGAGTACACGATGTTCCAGCTCCTCAACCAGGAGTTCACCTTCACCGTCGACGTATCCCAGCTCCCCTGCGGTCTCAACGGTGCTCTCTACCTCAGCGAGATGGACGCCGATGGTGGTTTGTCCAGGTTCCCCACCAACAAGGCTGGTGCCAAGTTCGGTACTGGCTACTGCGACTCTCAGTGCCCTCAAGACATCAAGTTCATTAACGGCATTGTAAGACTTTCCTTGCTTGACTCAAGAGGCGATCGCTTATTTTGTGCCCGCTTGTGTAGGCCAACGTTGAGGGCTGGAACGCTACCAGCACCAATGCCGGTACTGGCAGCATGGGTACCTGCTGCAGTGAGATGGATATCTGGGAGGCTAACAGCGTTTCTGCTGCCTTCACGCCCCACCCCTGCGAGACCACCGGCCAGACCGAGTGTACCGGTTCCGACTGCACCAGGGACACCGGTCTCTGCGATGCTGACGGTTGCGACTTCAACTCCTTCCGTCTCGGTGACGACACCTTCTACGGCTCCGGCCTGACCGTCGACACCACCCAACCCTTCACCGTCGTCACTCAGTTCCTGACCAGCGACAACACCTCCACCGGCACGCTCTCCGAGATCCGCCGCCTGTACATCCAGAACGACGTCGTCATCCAGAACTCGAACGTCAACATCCCCGGAATCGACGCCGTCAACTCGATCACGGAGGACTTCTGCGCGCAGCAGAAGGAGGTGTTCGGCGACACGAACTACTTCGACCAGCACGGTGGGCTCGCGCAGCTCGGCCAGTCGCTCAACACCGGTATGGTCCTCGCGCTCTCGATCTGGGACGACTACACCGCAAGCATGCTCTGGCTCGACTCCGACTACCCGACCACGAAGAGCGCGTCCTCGCCCGGTGTCGCGCGCGGCACTTGTGCGTCCACCTCGGGTACCCCGTCCCAGGTCGAAGGCCAGAGCCCGAACGCACAGGTCGTCTTCTCGGCCATCAAGTGGGGCGACATCGGCTCGACCTTCACCGGCTCCAGCGGCACCGTCCCCCCGCCGCCGCCCTCCGGCTCCGCCTCGTCCGCCGGCACCCAGCCGACCCAGCCCGCCGGCGGCAGCGCCGTCCCCCAGTGGGGCCAATGCGGCGGGACAGGCTTCGCGGGCTCGACCACCTGCGCGTCGGGCTTCACCTGCCACGTCCTGAACCCCTGTGAGTACCCCCGCCTTTGCCTGCACGGGAAACCGCTTGCTGACACGCTCCGCAGACTACTCGCAGTGCTATTAGACGATCCCCGGGTGTGGAGTCCGGCCGCGTGGCTCTTCGCGCGGCTCCTCCTGCGCAGGCGAGATCTCCCAGGCGTACCACCTGCGCCAAGTAACCGTGCCTCGTTTCTCCAAAAGTTCCCTGCGCTCGTCTCTGTCTCGCTGATCGGTGAATGTGCACGCAGACTCCTGTTGCCGTTGCTCGAGGAGCGGTAGATACACATCGGAACTGTATGTATGCACTTGAAAATACACATCGGGTTTCTAGCAACGTGACGCTGGGTGCTGCAAGAGTTCCCTCGGCTCGTCTGGTTCCGGCCTGAGCATTGGCTTGTCTAAGTTTGAGGCGGCGTTCGACCTTGTGACTTGTTCTAGGGATACAAGGGTATAGTCAAAACTTAGCATCTGCAACAATTAACTCACCAGAGGCCCTTGGCGATACCAACAAAACGCTCCGGCCCGACGGCCGCCGCCGCATCACAAGCGCGGCCGTCCCTAAGAGGCCAAGGCGGGCGGGCGAAGCGCTTTTAGCGCTTGCTAGAAATTTCCACCTTCTTGGCCATTCTGCGCAGCCCCACCTACATAAAGCCCGTGTTGCGGGCACGCGGGGGAGTGCACTCTCCTCAGACCCGCCATGCCGTCGTCCTTCTCGTCTCCGACGCTGCCCTCGACGGGCGCGGCACGACGCAAAGCGCTCGCGGGCCTCGCCGCCGCGCAGGCGACTGCGAGCGCCGCGCCGTCCGAGATCCTCCCGCGGCTGTACCTCTCGGGCTACTCCGTCGCGGCGGACGAGGCGCAGCTCCTCGCGCTCGGCGTCACGCACGTCGTGTCGGTGCTCGAGATCCCGCCGGCGTACACGCAGGGCGCGCTCAAGACGCTGCACGTCCGCATCGAGGACTCGTTCCGGACGGACATCCTGCAGCACCTCGACGGCACGACCGAGTTCATCAAGAGTGCGCTGGAGGAGAACGAGTCCAACAAGGTGCTGGTGTGTACAGGCCTCCTCGTCGTCTGCCGCTGTCCGTGGCGTACTGACATGGAGGACGCAGGTACACTGTTTGATGGGCATATCGCGGTCCACGACGGTCGTCTGCGCGTACCTGATCGCCACAAATGCCGTGACTGCGACCGAAGCCGTTGCCTTCGTGACGAAACGACGGAATATTGCCTCACCCAACATTGGTTTCCGAAGTCAGCTCGAGACGTACTCTGCACGCTACTGCACCACCGACGGAAAGACGACGACTGTGAAGAGGATAACGAGAAGGACCTTATATTCTACGACATCTGCAGCAGGCAGTGCATCGCCCGTGCCACCGCCACAAGCAACAGAGGAGGACAAAGAGACCGTACCACCACAAGCATAATGTCTAAGCTAACTGTCGCAGACTCCCGGGGCTTGTGCTAATAATTTATTACTCGTTTGTTGTGCTAGAGGCGTACAAGATCTTTACCACGAAATATAAGCATGCCAGCCGAAGTACTAAGTTCCAAGCAGCCTTGAGCCATCCAAAACACCCAGCACGGGTGTACGAGCATATGCGCCACACTATCCTCGATGAACCTGGCGCCCTCCAGACTTTCTCCTTCCGGCACCTCTCGCCTGACTACTTCTTATGCACACCATCGAGAGCTCAGAGTTCGAGTACAGACGAGGCCATCTCCAGCCGAACGACAGCTGTAGCTGAGTACGCCAGCCCTCACCGCCTCTGCCACAAATAAGCTCGCAAGCATAGCTCGATGTACAATCCGGACAAGACACCTTGGACCTGAAATAATCCGGACGGACAAACCGAAGTGTGTGTGCTTTTTGTCCGCCGCTTCTTGGTGAAGGGTAGCCATGTTACATCAGGCCTCTAAAGGCCTCTCCCTCGATAATGACGAGCCCGGTTATAGGTCAGGGTTTAAGTCGAGGTCGAGGTCAAATACTTGTTGCTGCGGCATGCGATGGTCCATCCTGAACGGATTTGGGCCGCCCATGTGTTGCGGACGCTCGACAGGATGCGGTGAGACTGTACGCGCTGCAGAGTTATGTGAGAGTGAGATCGCTTTTCGCTCGAGTAGTGGCGTACCTTGTCCAACTTCGTGCGTCTCTCCAAGTGAGCCCAGCGGTGCCTCTGCGTTCATGTGTCCACGGCGCATCTTCTCCTCGTTCGGGAACGGCGGGAAGAACAGTGGCGGCGGGGGCTGCCCTGGCGCGAGCTCTGGCATGTTCGGCGGCGCAGACGTGAACGCAGACAAACTGTGCGCGTATTGCAGGAGCTCGGGATACGGAATGGACGCTGGAACCGCGTCTGTCGCGAGCACACTCGAAGTGAGATCTCCGACCACGCACCTGCCTTCGCCGCGTCGATGTTCTTCATGCGCTCTTCCCCCTCGGTTAAGATAACCTCGAGCTCGCGCTTCCCTTGCTCAAGTTCCTTGATGATATCGCGCCAGTGCTCCTCGAGGGCAAGGAACTCCTCCTTCAGCCTCTCGTTCTTTCGGTGCTTGATCTGGTGTTTGCGCGCGAGCTTCACAGCAGAGGCCAGTGCGGCGTCTGCCTCCAGGAATGCTGTGATCGGTGGCACAGGTGGCGGTCTGGTTTGTGTTGGCGAGAGCGAGTGGAACAGCGTATGCGTTAAGGCCTGTAGGTCGTTCAGAGGTTGCAGTAGGATCTCGGACATGGAGTGCGGCGTGTCGCGCGCGTTGGCGGCTTGGTGAGGGGCATTTGAGGAGCCGGAGAGACCAGAAGTCGAGTACAAGGCTGACATCGCAAACAGTCGTGGCCCAGGCAACAAGTCAGGACGAAGGTACTGTAGTAGTGGATCGAATACAAGTACGGGACGCTCCCACACTACGGGCATGAGCTGATTTCAGATCACCTGAAATGTCCCGGTCAAGCCATCAAAAATGTTTCATTTTCGGAGACTTAACCGGGGCTTTCTGGTGTCCTAAAATGATAGATTTGCCACCACTTTCGTAGCCATTTGCGGTGCAAGAAAATGATAAATTTTGTGTAGCCTGAAATGAACCTGAAATGACTCAATATGGCTACATTTCGGTACGGCAAAGAGTTCATGTTTCAGAAGACTTTGTGGTGCATTTCAGGACATCTGAAAGAACATATGTAGAAATCATTTCCGCCTCATGTTTGCAATGAGGAAAGGTCCGGGCAAGGATAACTTTTGATGGTCCTGAAATTACCATTTACGGCAGATTTGTAGTACGTTTCTAGGACATTTTTGGCTTATCTCAAGTAAAAATCTTCTAGCTCATAAAATAGCTTCAAAATCCATCAGAAATGGCAATTTCAGGACCATCAAAAGTTATCCTTGCCCGTACCTTTCCTCATTGCAAACATGAGGCAGAAATGATCTCCACATATGTTCTTTCAGATGTCCTGAAAT